TGCTGTAAGAAACTGGACGGTTAGAGGAATACATTTTCTCTTTATTCTGTCATCCTTTACTCACCCTCATATCATTCTCAACCCGTACACTGTTACTCTGTGAGAATCAAGCAGAATAGAGATTCAATGTAGATTTTTTACAGTATAAATCACCATTCATTTAGTGATCCATCAGCTTTTAACCACTGTGCTTCTCCCTTTAACAAATACACTGTAAGTCACTTCAGATAAACGCACCGCCTAAATGACAAGTTTCTCATAATCATTTTTGGGTAGATTCTGTTCTCTCCAGACACCAAACTAGCCACTAACCACCCCCAGAGTTCAGCATGAATGTGCTGTACGCATCAATCAAACGCTCTTCTTGGATCAGTCCTACAAATTTCACACGTTGTTTCCTCTCGGATCAGATCAGTCTTTGTGTCTGCTCCCAAACCGGCGTTCCCTCTTCTCAATGTGGATACTTGATCCTCTTCAACTCCACTCACGACGCTAACGCACCGACATGAAGAATGAGGCAAGCCGTCTGTTTGTCCTGAACCTGAGCTTCCTGGCATGTGAGCGTGGGCAGAATGGATCAACGGACCTACAACTCCGCAGATTACACGGCCCGATTAGAAGTGCTAAGTGCGTTTTGTCAGAATCCAATTTCAGTGGAGACAGAGAGGGAATCATTGAGGGAAACCGGCAGCTTTTCCTCACTCCTGCCGTCACCACCGTGCAACCTGATCCATCTTACGCATCCAGACAGCGCGTGTGTGTATGTGTGTTTGTGTGCCCGAGAGGGGCATGTGGAGTTTAATGGATTTAAGGTCTGTTTCTGCGAGTATCCTTCTCTGAGGACTTGGTTTTTGAGGTGGGGTTATTGTGGGAAGCAATGCTCAACTTTTCTCACTTAACTGTTTTGAGCTTTTAAAGAGGAAGAGACAACGGTAATCTTGGGGAGAAACTAACTAAATGTTGTGGCGTGACTAGTAGATTTTCAGTTGCATGACAGTACTTCTGTTTTCAAAATACTAGTAACAACTAAAAAACAACTAGCTATTTTTTTTCAAAAACATTTTTTGCATCAACATTTTGTTGAGCACTGATGAGATGAAGTAAAGAAAATATCTCTCTCACTGAAATAGCGTTGAAAGGGCTGATTCATTTTAGCAGTTGGTTAATTTTAACGGTTCATTCATATAGAAACAATTCACTAGCTGCATCACAATTCATTAGTAGGCTCCAAATTCAGAGGCTACATCCTTCGAAGGACGGATCTGTTGTTACCTTCATTGCAGGGGAAACGAAAGCCATATTTAGAGGCCGCATTTAAGCAAAGTCCCTTTCAAGGAAAGAGCCTTCGTCACTCAGTGGTGACCCAATCGGCCTTCGAAACAAATGAGTGCAGCACACACTCAGTTAACATACTGTGGTAAAAAAAAAAAAATCTAAATGTGGAGTTTTATATTTATAACATATGATACAGTTAAGCAACATCCCACGACCAAGAGTGTTCTCTTCCTGAATACCATCACGATTGAAAATGTGACACTGATTTCCTACATTTCAATAAACAAGTACTTTACATTACATTACATTAGTACATTTTAGACGTAATATTGACTGTTTTTGTTCTATTTCAGCAGCGAAAATAGTTCAAAACAAAGATCACAGCAGAACCATAGTGCATCTCAAAGCAAACCTCACCCTTGTTTCATTACTAAATGATTCAGCGTTTTGAACGAATCAGTTGAGTCAAAGATTCAATGACCCATTCATAAACAACTGCCTCATTCTTGAATGCATCAGCCATCTGAACGAAACGTCTAAATGACTCAATGATTCACTCATTAAGACGGTCACTTGCTGGCACCTACTGGTGGTTTAGTTTCATGTTTAAAAGTATAATTCTTTCCCCAATATTTTTTATCTGTATATTCAAAAAATATTTAAAACAATCTCATGACATCATTTAATACAGTTGTATTTTTTCATTGTAGATGATTTATTTTGATTGGTAACAGCCCTATAGTGTCTTTTTATTCTAAATGAATTTATTGATCAAATTTAAGAATTTGAAATGAAAGATAAGGCATACATTAAAAAAAGATTAGGGGAAAATGCCTTGGGCTAAATATCACAAAAGCTGATAGAACACAAATGAGAATATTGCTTCAGAAAAAAATATATTTACTTAAATCCTGTTTTTTTCCAGACAAGCAACTAGGACAAGTGAATGAACAATTTTGGAGCCTGTTTAGCACATTATGTTTTTATACATTATACATTACTGATCTTAGCAACTGTGGTCGTCAATTATCAGACAAACCTTTGCTCCTTTCTACTGTAAGTCTGAGGAGGATCTGTGTGTTTGGACAGTGTCAGTTTTCAAAAAATATGATAGAAATTCCCTTCTAATAAAAGCATTACACTAGCCTGGATGCCAGCCCGAACCCCGCCCACAACATTATTTGGTCAGGAAGTTTGGTCTGGACTCGATCCATTGAGGAGTAATTATGATCAGTTCAAAAATCGTCGGGCCAATCAAATTGCCAGGGCGGGCTTTATATGATGATGGACAGATGATCTGCAGTTACGTAATCATCACGTTATCAAAGAGCGCTTGGGTTGAACTGGTTTCCCTCAGAGATGACTGCAGCTGGAGAATTGAGATGTATAGATTGCGCTATCGCGTCTGTTGTAAAAGAAATCGACAGGGCATTAATTTTAAAAGACGAACAGAGAACTGCAATCAAGGCATGATCGGAAAGATGTTTGCCGCCCTTCCTACGGGGTTCGGCAAGAGTTTAATTTATCAGCTGGCTCCGATGGTCGCTAAGAAGATGGTATGCAATGAAAACCCTGTGGTCGTTGTGGTTTCTCCTTTGGTCGCACTCATGGAGGACCAAGTAAAAGAAGCAACACTCATTATTTTACTACTTCTTCCAGCGTGCGTGCAGTTGAGTTCTGTTGACAACTATGCGTAGCTCAGCGTTGCTCTGATTGAAAATTACTGCCGGGATGTGTATAATAGTGATGCATTTTCCAATCACAATAATATGTAATTTATCTATTTCTTCAATGAAAAACGACAGATAAAAATGCCATTCGCAATGTCAAATATCAATCACATAAGAATAACATCAGTTAAGTTTTTACCACTTTATGAACACATTTTACTGAAAATCATGGCGGATGTGGAACAGACTACTTTATCAAAAGGCTAACCTGACTGTATCTGAACTACTTTAAATTATGAGCAGCTTGTAGCTTGGCAAGCTTAGGTTTCGAAGCAGCTTCCCAAACCCTGGTGGGAAATGAGAGAGAAGACTCTGGCAGGCCAGCTGAAAGGCCTCCGACAGACATGAGTGCAGAGGAAAGAATTTTCCCCCCAAATCTGGCACTTTTTTCGCCTATTGGTCTATCGCCTGACTGACTGACAGACTTGCAGACACCAGGTGCTGGGGGAAACCGCATCGCTAATGCACCTGGAGCTTTTTTACAGCAGAGACAAGATCGCTAGAGTCCAACCGCATGCCTGAAACACACAAATGCACCCACATATCAAGACCCTTGCATACCCACCAACCTTTCTTTCATTTCCAACTATCCGTTTTTTCGTCTATATGAACTGGTTTTGGTTACTTAAATTCCCAGATACTGGCATATGGAAAAAATCTACTTGTCAAGTCTGCCGGTGGTCTTCTCATCCTCGGGTTATGTAATATTCATAGTACACAAAGTCAAAAGTAAAAACAGTGGACTTGAACGATGTTGAACCAGGCAAAAAGTTCAAGGGGACTTTAAGTCTGGATCTAATGTAATCAGCCACGAACTAGGGTAGCGTACATATGGAAATTCCATAAATTGTTTTTGTTGGCCCATAGGATTGTATATATCCACACACATACCCAGATTTTTGGATAATTACATCTTCATTTCAAAGGGTAAACTACAAATCCAATAATGCAATATGCTTAGACAAAACTTCCTGCCTCGGAATATGAAAACCTGCAGATGCTGGAGGCATTCAGAGAATCAGAGGGAACAGAAGAGGCCGTTTTCAAACATGCGAATTCCTTTCGGCAAGAAAAATCCATAATCCTGGCAAAGAAAAACCCAAGGGGCTGGAAAATATGCACGGTATTATTAATGTACGCGAGCAGGCCAACAGAATACTTGCTTTCTTACTGGTAGTATTTCAACAGCAAAGCAGCACGCTCCAACAGGAGTTTACCACCATTTACCAGTGCGATAAAGGCATTAAAGAGCAAAACAGCGGAGCTTTCTCTCTCCCAATATCTTTCAACGCTGCTACGAAGATGAAGACATCAAAGAGTTACATGGAGTCATAAAGGTTTCTATGAAACACTTGATTTACAGACTTGACAACTCTTGAATCTTAAGCGGTCCTGGAGGGAAGAGGAAGATGGGAGACACATGAGAACCTGAGCGTGAGATTATGATAACAGACTCCTAGAGCGTAGTGGTTCACCACTGGTGAGTTGTGGCCCAAAAGAGATTCACAGGTTTGTTTCTACAGAGCAATGCTGAATGCAAATAATAAAATGCAACTAAACATATAATTGTGCATAGTTAGGAGAGTGAAATAAATCCACTAAATGTCCAATAAAAATGTACAGTATTTTATCTGTCACTAGTAAGAAAATTTAACAGGTTTTAGTTTATGATGAACAAATTTGGAACCATGGGTCACCACTTGATAGTCAACCTAGAATCTGTGTGCTTTTAAATCCACTGTAGAAACACTAGTATACATGTAGCACATAGAAATCGTAAAGGTCTCTGGGTGAAAAAGGTGTTAAACTGTGCATTTATTCCACAGCAGTGTAACTGACTGCATAAATACACCACTTTTCCCACTAGCACCCACAATTTGACAAAATGAAATCCCTGTGAAGCTACGAACTGAACTAAAATGACCTCTAAATCAATGGGGCTTGCCACACTTGACACGGTTAAGCCCTCCACATTTCAGCGCAGCGATGTCTCACCTTGGATGGTTTGGCACAATTTCGGGCTGCTGTCTGCAGCAGTAGCAGGTCCATCCGATGAAGAATGTATTTCCCGGATCACTCGGTGTTCCCAGCCAGAGAAGGAATCCGCAGCCTGGCCCACTGGCGTGATGAACAGTCTTTCCTCTTCAGTTTGAACCAGGCCAGTCTGCAAGAAAACACATGAGGTGGAACAATCAATAACGGCAGATGAGAAAGCCTTTATCTGGATAGAATTTGTAACTTTGGAGGCAATCTGTAAATGTTCAGAATGTTCAGAAAACTGTCCAGTAAGATATTAAGGATATTAAAAAAGTCATGTTTTTCAAAAGTTAAAAAAGTTATAAAGAATTTATATTTTTTTATTATTTTAATTTATAAAAAAAATCGTATTATTCGTTTTTTTCTATATATCAATTAATATATTTTAATTACATAGATTACATTAAAATATTTCACAATTTTATTATAAAATGTTATAATATATATACACACACACATACATAGTACATACATACATGCACATAGATTACATTGTATTTATATAATTTGCAACAAATAATTATAATTAGGCTACTTTTAATTTCTTTAATAAACAGGTTCTGCACATACTGAAAACAACAAGATATGTAGATATACCAGAAGATTACTGCACTACCTGAACAGACAGCTCATATTTCATCAGCTTTACTTGATTTGATTTGGATTTTTTTTTTTTTATGTCTTAAAGCCACACCTGCAAAGCTTTTAAAAGAAACTCATGAAATCACTATAAACTGAGTCCATGTGACTAAGACTTCTGAAGTCACATGATACCTTAATGTGAGAAACAGACATTTAAGATATGGACTACGTTCATGTTTTTGATCACTATGAACTGCTGATGTACAGTAAATAATGGCATAACTTTAATTTTAGGTGAACTATTCCTTTAAGATTGCATAGAGAATCTCAGATGATGTGCTTCAGGAGGAAGCTGATGTGTTTTCTATTACAGCAAACCCAGGATCTCCCATATACGAAGCCTTCTTTCCCCTCCACCTGACCGTGTCACCCCTCGTGGCTTCAAGGGCACAAAGATGTGAAATGTGATAATAATTTATCTCCTTTTGCCAAGGCCCAAAACTACAAAGTCAGCATCAAATCCGGAGACAGCGTTCAGTCAAGCAGAATAGTCCGGATTGACGCTGCATGATCCAAGCAGCACAACAGAGGCTTCGCTGGAGAAAAGAGTGGAAAATGCACATGGATGAGGTGAGGCAGATGTGCATAGAGCCCCAGGCGGGTGGAGGAGGAAAAGAACATGGGAGTGCTGACAGGAAGTTGCCCATAGAGGCTGTAAAACATACGCTTTCATCACAACATGTACAGACAAACCCCACATGTACCAGGTTAAACAAAGTACAGTTACATATGGCTACACTCCGAGGAGAGATAGAGCAGGAAAAATGGTCCGAAATGACATTAACAGGCAGGAAAACCTTGTTTTGGTCCTCTCAAACTTCAACATTGTTTAAACAAGATTACTAAGTAGAAGTTAGAAGAAGTAGACTGCGCATGAAGGTCTCTTTTCAAAGCCTAGTGAGCTCCCTACGTAGACAGCAACCTTCTTTTGCACAAGATCAAAAGTTGCATTATATGCATTCTTCAATGAGTAGGGATTCCCACAATGCATTGCAACAAGATCCGTGTCTGCGCCAATCGCCTCGTGGGCAGTTGCGCTTCGGGCGTCCCAGGTTCGAGCCCCGGCTCGTGGACCTTTCCCGGTCCTGTCCCCCTCTCTCTCTCTCCAACTTTGCTTCCTGTCAACTAACTGTCCTATCGTGATAAAGGGCAAAAACGAAGATCCGTGGAAAAATTTTATCAAAAATGGTAACTATAACTATAAATATGCTTAAATCAATTAATATGTAAAAGTATCTAAGGGTACAATTACACATCAACGATGTACTAAAAACAGAAAACATTTGTAAAGAAACACTACATGCCTTTAGACTGAACACATAATACGCATGCGCATGATGTCACCATTTTCACACATTTGTGTTTTCATAGTTTACACAGAGACGATTTCGATTTCACAAACTTGCACTTTGAAAACCATTTTCAGAAGTTTCAAAGTTTCAAGTTTTCAGGCCCCCAAACCGACATAGTTGTATAAATGAACGGCCAAAACGCATAAAACGTTTTAAGCTTTTAGTTGAAAACAGTGTTGTGAAAACGGCCCTAAAAATAGCTATAAAAAAAATCATTGTTAACCAGAAAATTTTGCTTATTTGGGATAGCATACTACCATTCAAAAGTTTAGGGTTGGTAAGATTTTTTCATGTTTTTGAAAATGAAAATGTAAAAAATAGTTTAAAAACTGGACATCATTTCCACCATCCAAAATTGTATTTCCTTGCGGTGAGCAAAGCGGCGAGAGAACTGCTCGCGTCACTGACAGCTGTCAGATGGGGCCAGTTAAAACACACAGCTGATCTTCGACTTATCTGCAAAACCGTTGAGAGCTTCACATCTGCTCACGGTCAGTCTCACTTTAGGTGTCAAAAATGTCTGACCCTTCTAGTCACATGTGGATAGAGCATTTACAGTAACAATGAGCTCATTTTCCACATAGTCAGCATAAAGAGGGATGGGTCAGGGTGGTCAACTAGTTGTCAGTTAACCGAACTGTCAATCGGTGAGGTTTGTCAATAAGTTTGTTCAGAATACGTCAAAGACCACAAGCCCTGGCCAATCAGATGACTGAAAAAACCTGCACTCTAATCAGATTAATTGACAGCTTGCGATAATGGAGTGCCACATCCCTTTCTGGTGTTTGATTGATGGCATTTCAAAAGGAAGTTTGAAGGATGGAATGATCGTAATGGGACCAAAGTCAGGGAAACTCTTTCTCAAACAAACAGCCTCTCTCCCATGGGTGGGCCTGGAATGCTCACAACCACAAGTCAAATAACCACCACATATTCAAAGTGTGGTCGGGTGTATCTCACAAAAACATGTCAGTGTCACATTTGAACTTAAAATCAAAAGATAACTAATAAGAAAGAAAAGTAAGCCTGTTTTTAGGACCATTAAGAATTAAATGCATTGTGACAATTTTTTCACGACATTTCAGCACATATCCTTTCTTCTAATACGAACAATTACATTATAATTTTTAAAAAGCACCTATATTGTTAGTTCTCTACTCACTAGTGTCAAAAAAAGGTTTCACGTCTGTTTTGATCAAAATGTCGCAAAAGCAATTAATAAAACTCTATTAACCAGAAAAATTGTGCTTATTTTGGATACACTTTGGATACAGTATTGTTCAAAAGTTTGGGGTAGGTAAGATTTTTTAATGTTTTGAAAAAAGTCTCTTATGCTCACCAGGACTGCATTTATTTGATCAAAAATACAGTAAAAACTAATATTATGAACTATTATTATTATTATTCATTTAAATTATCTATTTTAATATATTTTTAAATGTAATTTATTCCTGTGATGTCAAAGCTGAATTTTCAGCATCATTACTCCAGTCTGCAGTGTCACATGATCCTTCAGAAATCATTCTAATATGCTGATTTGATGCTCAAGAAACTCTAAAAAAAATATTTTCATTATAAAAAAAAATGTCAGAATTGTTTGATAAATAGCTAATTTAAAAGAATAGCAAAATGGAAATCTTTTGTAACATTGTAAAAATATATTTACTGTCACTCTGATCAATTTATTGCGTCCTTGCTGAATGAAAGTCTTAATTTCTTTTTAAAAAAACAATCTTACTAAACTCAATCTTTTAAAAGGTTAGACATCAAGAAAATGTTCAAATTAATAAACAAATAATACATATAATAGATGAGAATGTGAGTTTTTTGCATTATGGTAACGATAATTAGAGGAGGCAACGAAATTTAAAGGACTTTAATTTTCTTTAAGCAAAATCAGATTTCTTGTTATTGAAACAAACACATTCATGCCTTTCCAGCAGTGACAATCTCCCAACAGCTTGGAACTTGGAACTCCACTCACCAGTCCACCACAAGCATCCAATGAGGCGAAAGAGTCAGTGTGATTGAGAACGGCTCCGGTATAGAAACACCGCCGAACCTTTAGAACAGGTTCATGCTGAACGCTGCCCTCCTCGCTCCTCTCCTCCATCAAAAACCCCTCGGCGAGGAAAGAGTCGTCTCTATGGAGCTGCAAGTAGAGTTCCTTTCCGAAAGCAGGCAGCCGTAGAAACAGGTGGTCCTCCTGCTGATGGTCCGAACGTCGTCTGCGACCTCTGCTCCACCTGTAGGTTCCCTGGAGCAGGTGCACCTCTTCTGGCCGCAGCTCCTGCGGAACGACCACATCTGTCTCGTACATGGCAGATTGCGCTAGAGGACATGCAACACGTTGTTATTTGAAAAGCAGTGCAAAGTGGATAGTCACGTCAGAGATCCCAAAAAAACCTCTATTTCCATGACTTTTCCATGACCTTCCCAGCCGATTACTGGATAAGCATTATACCCAATTTCATGCAATTAAATATTTTAGTGCTGAGCATAACCAGAAACACTTACATTCACTATCGTAATTTCTATGATTTTTAAAATAAAAAAAGAAGATTTTAATCATTTCCATGACTTTTCCAGACCTAAAAAAAATATTTTAAAATCCCCTGACATTTCTAAGTTTTGTGGTAACCCTTCAAGACAGTAAAACATTTAGTTTTATAAGTTACAGTTTAGTTTATAAGTCTGTCTGCAGTTAGTTAAAGAATGATACACATCAGGGGGAATAAAGTTGTTAAAACATTAAACATGGAAATAGAGGGTACAGAAACCACCGAACAGTTCATTAAAAAAATGAAGTAACAAAGTGCAAAGAACCATAAGAAGCACACACTCAAAACCAAGTAGGCTGCCTACATAGACAGTGTTCTTGTGCATCATACAGTTGCATGAGCTCACATGCTCTCTCAGCACTCTGTGATGTAACATTAACTCTTTGCCAAGAGAGTTTTTGTTCCCATAATGCATAAAAATGCTTTCTAGGAAAGTAGCTCACTGGAGTACAGAAGACACACTATTCTGGCTGCCTAGACAGTATTTTTTGGGCATCGTACAATTGCATGAGCTCAACATGCACTCTCGGGCAAGAGATAATACCTACAATTATTTTGAAATGGAATCTAAAATGCCTACATGAGAATGTGACTTGTGTACTCTAATAAGATGATTATCTATACAGCATTGTGTGCAACATACAGTTGCATGGACACTCTCATTCAAGAGAAAAAAGGTCTAAAAATGTGCCACAAATGCCCCCCAAAAACTGTCTAGTTAGGCAGCTGACTACACAGAGAATGTGTGACCTCTAGTAAGCTGACTATCCAGGCAGCCTTTTTGGCATCATACCGTTGCATGAGCTCACATGCACTCTCAGCACTCTGTGATGTAACATCCACTCTGCCAAAAGAGCGCACGTGACGTCACATCATTTCTTTCCGATTATGACGCCCAAAAAAGCTGTCTAGGTAGGTAGAGCACTTGGTTTTAAGACACACAACATCTTGAAATGTAACCTGGGTGGTGAGCTCTATATGGCTCTTAGTCTTAGATAAACAATTTCATCTTAATTGAAACAACATGACTGAAACCTTTTTGTAAGCAGCAGGAAAAATATGCAGTTTGCCGTTAAAAATTATATAAACCAGTCGAGGAGACAAGTCGCCGTCGGTTAGTAAACGTTAAATGATCCAGTCGAAAAAAATACCATGGTAACCGCAGTTTCCGCCGTTATCTTGACTATGCAACTGCAAAATAATGAGTTAATAAGGGAATATGTGTAGAAGCTTTCAGGTCATTTCTGACATATATATATATATTTTTTTTTTTTTGTCCAGCACCTATAGCTGTAGTAATATAGGTAACGTTACATAGCCTGAAACTGGTAACCATGGTGAATTTCTGTCAGGAGTATCGCAGGTGCTGCAGTCTTACCTGATATTGCCTTCAGTCCAATGCAAAGGAGAATTAAAGACAAGAAAAGCAGTAGAGTGTCATTGCCGTGCATTATTATAAGTAATATGTCGTAGATAAACAGTCTGTGTGAAGAGAGTAGGCAGTGTGCGCTGGCGGAACAGCAACAGGCAGCGGACTGACGCGAAGTTTCAGAAAGTTTAATTACAGCAGACGGGGAACTCAACTTCAGGCAAAAGCCCCGCCTCCGAACACAGACTGCGTTCGGATTCGTCAATTTGATCTATGTAAATAGATTCCTGCAGCGTCATTGGCTATTGGTTCTGTCATTCTGAAAAGAGGGCCGGGACAGTGCACGCTGTCCCACACATCTTTTGAAACAGAGGGAAAGGCAAATCAGCCTGCAGCTGTTAGGTAAATAAAACGTATTAAATCCAACAGTTAAGAAGAACTTGGTGGTAAGCTTTCATTTGTCCGTTTTTGGCACATTCTCTGCTGAACAAAAACAAAATCTGCCTAAGCTACTTTTTTTTTTTTTTTTGCTGGTCTCCCAACTTTGCCAAAATGATGATCAGATTAAACTTGACCAGCTGGTAAGCTCACAAAACCCCTCTAATCAACCAACCAATGGCTGAGAGACAAGCAAACCAGTTTAAGGTGGTTTGCTTGTCTATAGTTTTAGATGGGTTTAGGGTATTTGTCATCTGGTCAGTTTGGCCAATCAGCTAAACCAGCCGAACAGCTTAATCCTTCTGGCCGGGGCAGGAGGAGACCCGCAAAATCATTTAAATTCAACTAAGGGCAGCAAAACCACCTTAAGCTGGTCTTTTCAGCAGGACAATGCATAAACTGATTGCGTTCTCTAACTTTTACATAGTCATAGACATGTAAACTTAATTGTTAATTGTTATAGCTTACTGTAGATGCCACAACATGTCAAATTAAGAATTGGGCCTACTATTAAGAATTAATATAAAATATTATTGATAATATTCAGTTAATTATTTTCAATAATAACTTTTTTTAACTGTGTAAATGAATTATATCTCCTTTACTTTCTATTAAACTTAAAAAAAACTCAATTCTAAATGTTATGCTCTAAATAAATAACCCCAGCCACATTGAATCTTAAAAGTGCACGTTGTAATTTGAAACCTCTCAAGTCAGAATAACGGCACATAAAAGAGAGTCTGCACAGGGTAATTTGCAAGTATATTAAAAGAACAACTTCAATCATTTTGAACTGCATTTCACTTCATAATCAAAACCACATAGATAAAGAAACGCAAATAACATCCTGGCAAAGAGATTGACAAAAAAAATCTTCTATCCCTTTGTGTAGACATCCTTTGTCATCAGATAACTTATTGTGAATTCTTATGGATACCATCTCCGTGGCGTATATGCTGGCATTGCCTGTAATTGTGCCTCATCAGTTTTAGAAGTAACAGATGTGATGTGTTATTACTAATGCAGAGCATGTGAAGACCTGGATAACATTATGGGAGAGTATCGATTTAAGTACTGGATGATTATTATATACTGAGCTGAAAATTGTCGTTTTGAATGTAAGTTATAGTTGTCAACACACAGATAAAGCAGTGGGGTGGGATTGTATTGTAGCCCATATACAGTCATTAAAGGGCCAAAACTATGTGAGTTATGTGTGCAAGTCATGTGATTAAACACAAAAATGCATTTTGTGTTTTGCATGTGTGACCTTTACAATACGCCTTGTTTTAATATTCAGTTTGAAAACTGAAACAAAACATGATTTAAATGTCCTCTATTTAGCACGTTAAATGAAATGCAGTGCATAAGGGAGTCTGTACAGCAGTATGCACTAAACTAATCTAATAAAGGAGCATTTGAGTTGCTATGCAGTTACTATGTCCTGGATAGTTGCTAGGGCATTATGTGGTTTCTATGCAGTCATCTTAGAAAACACCACTAATTCGTATCTCATATCAAAACAGGAAAAAGGCCTAGTGCAGTCTGGAGATGCACTGAACAAACCTTTGGTGTAAGAATCTACTCTCCATTAATTTTGTGGATTCTCTTACAACAGTAAGAGCAATAGAAAAAGTCATTTATCAGCAGTCCGTACCCTGAGAAAGGCGCTCTTGTGAGTGGATAAAGTTCATTAGAGTAGGTCAGCAGAGGCTTTAATCCTATTTCAAGTGCTTTGATTTTCTCATTCCTCTTCGCCAAAGTACCACTGAAGAATTACTGCTTCCTGTGGATAGCGGGGCCGCTGGCACAGCCAAGTGGCCCGTAATGAGCGATGGTCATGGCAAAATGATCTAGGCTGGATACAGTGGTGCTATGATGATATCTGAGCACAGAGTGCCGAATTTATAGCAAAATAAATCTGCTGATTGTAGTTTGAATGTACAGTGTACTAATGCACTGATTATCACTGAACCACCCAGAACACGCTAGCAAATATTCAGAAAACCTGAGAAGAAATCCCATAGAAAGTTAATTGCATGCCTTACAATTTGAGGTCCATGTCCATAAATGATTTAGGATAAGCTATGTGCAAAATGTTTGATCAACAACGACAGTAGTCAACATTTGAAGTGGTTTTACATGAATTTTGAACAATTTGAACAACCGTTCTTGTCTTAGGACAACTTTGATGAACTTTTTTGATCCACTTCAAATGTTGACTACTGTATGAACAACAGTACTGGTGATGCTTACTTTAGCAAACACTATTAATGATAATCATGTTTGGGAGGAGAAGCGTTGTTTTTTATATATTTAAGCAGAACAAAATATCACCTGCATGACAACAACATGATTCCAGGTAGCCCAGATCCTTACAGTCATCCCTGGAAAAGATCCCTAGACAGCAGTGATTTATGAACACAAGCACAATAATGAAAGCAAGTATTGTGACACCAAAAATTATTTAGCAGTTATCATTTTGAGTTGACACTGTAGAACACAGGTTGTGTGCTTGATTGCAGAGGTCAAGAGTGTGGTCAACTGCTCCCTCTAGAGGCAGTACACTAAACAAAGAACGTGTTCAGTCGGAGTGAGTTTTAAAAGGCAGTTTGTTCTGTTTCATTATGCCATTACTGCTTGACTGCCCTTTACACATTGATTTTAAAGGGACAGTTCACCCAAAAATTGAAAATGCATTACTCACGGTCATGTTGCTTGAAATTTGTAAATGAGATTTAATAGTTAGGACAGAAGGTATGAAGATTTCATCGTATAGAAATGAGCAACTTGAAAATGAGAATATTTTCTCTGTGTTCCATTAAATGCAAAATATATCTATAATATGACATAAAATATAATTGACTGTAAAAAAAAAAAAAAAAAAGTTTTTTATGGGGAATTACTCTTTTCACCCAAAATATTTTGAACTGGGGGTCCATTTAACATATAGGGGAGAAAAAAATCATAAAATTTCTATTTAAATGACCATTAAATAAAGATCCAATTATAAGCATTATAATATTGTGAAATATTAGATCAATATTAGATCTTTATTACAATAAAATTTGAATTGAACAATTTAAAAAAAATCCTTCATAATCCAAACATTACACTTTTCATTGTAAAAAACAGTAAATGCACTAAATTCTCAAAACCATCTCTGCTGATCTGTGGATATTTGCATCGCCCCAGAGAAACAAAAATGATTTGTCATACACACACACACATATATATTGCAAAGGCCTGAACTCATTCATCTCAATTCATTCTTTGTCATTCTCTCATACACATATCAAAATAAAACACACACCAAATCAGTCACTCACAGCAGATGTGAATATTCAACCAGTTCATAAATGTCAATAAGAACCTATTAAATCTCAAATTTACCACATACAGCATTCAGATATACTTAGGTAGTTTTAAGTCAAATACATAATATTTTGTGAAAACATGTCTACACTAAACCCCAGCAGAGCATCAAAACTTTTGGATGGATGGATGGAATGGTTTCTATTCAAATTTGCACTTAGTTTGTATATTTCATATTTATTTTTAATTTAATTTACATATTTATTAATAAATTAGATTGTGCGGACCAGAGTGAAACACATTTCACACTTCTTTAAAATTACAATTGAATAAATTCCTCTTCCCGTCATTCCAATTAAACTTCCTGTGGAATGTGGCCAATTCAAATTGATGAACTGAAAGGCAGCCAATTCTTCAATTCTGAGACTTGGAGCAAGTAAGATTAAAGTTAAACGGTGAAAACTTTTTAACACCTTTAAAACTCACTATTTTAATAAAACCACTTCTGGTTTTGTGGCATACACATATGAAGGTAACTATTAAGCCTCTGACTGACTGGAAGTCCTTTATTTTCAATGATAGCTGGTGATTTGAGTTGAGCAGAATGCCATGTGGAGACTGCCATTGGGAGTGCAGATTCATACGCATAGAAATGCATACGAGAAACCAGCACTGCAGAGACTCAGTGACCTCCAGCAATCAGTTGATGCAAATAACTTGCATTGACAAAAAAGATGTTACTGCAGTGTGAACACCAATAAGCCACAATATGTTGGACACATCCAATATAGATACAGTAAAAGAAGTTAAGAACTAAAAGAAAACGTCAGCTGAGTGTCCACCAAGCCCCAGAGGTTAAAGTGATACAAAGGTAGATGTTATTCTTCAAAATCACTCGCAAGAAATGCAGACTTGAGATTCCATTTCAGTTCTTTATAGAGAACGATGTAAAAGCAGCACGATGAAGCCTCGATGGAAGATGCCAGACGGCGAGGGCAGCCATGGTGACGTGATCTTTGAGCTTCAAAAACAATGAGCAGTCTATTAAATCTTACAAGGGGTTTCTTTTTCTTTGTGCGGTGTTCTTTCATAATTACCCATGTGATCCTGTGCCACAATAAAAAAGTTCTTATATTAGTTGAAAGGGGGAAAATAGGTTTAAAGCAGCCAAGACACAGCGCCTCACATCCAGTGAAGCCGAGTTGAGAGAAAAAAAAGGGTTTTCAGTGTTATTAAAAGATGCAATTTGTTTTGACAGGTCTCTGGCATATTATGTGTGGAAATAAATCCAAATTATGTTTTTGGCTCCTCACATCCCTGAGGCCAATTCAAAGTCATTCACAGTTTAAGGAAAGATGTGTCAGTGATGATTAGCTCCGCCTCCACCACAGCCATTGGTCACTTTCACATGTCCGTCATTGTCCTCGGTCACAATGGTTTCCCCGTCCTCTTCCTCGTCTTCTTCATTGTCACTTCTCTCATCTTTGGTTAACTATCAAAAAAGATGCATTTTGGGAAAAATTTTAAATAATAATAATTCATAGCGAAAAACATCTAACACTCCTTTATTTCTAAAACAAATTTGAGAAAGAAAATTTGAAAATTTTGTGTTGTGTAGCCAGGGTGTTGCTATGTGGTCTGAGTAGTTACATGCCAGTTTAATAAATAACACTAACAGATACAACTTTTGATTTAATAATGTATTAATAAATGTTACAACTAACAGAAGTTGATGAATGCTTTGTTGTTGATGAAGTATGTTGCATAATAATAATAATAAACTTTATTTTATATATGACTTTTAAAGCAGCTTCTCAAGGCACTTTAAACAATAAAAAATATAAGGAAAAAACAAATAAACACAGAAGCGTACAAAAAAAACACACTGGAATACAAATTAGTTAAAACCATCAAGAAAAAGCTAACCTAAAAAAAAATAGTTTTTAGGTTAGATTTAAAAATGCTTACATTTTGTACATCTCTAATATGAGAAAAGAGTGCGTTCCAGAGTCTAGGAGTATAGGAAGAGAAAGCCCTGTCCCCTACAGATCACAAAAGCGTCTGTGGAACAGAATGAGAGGAGCGCAAAATGACACTAAGAAATATATAAAGTTAAAAGCGCAGACAGATACTGAGGGGCCAGACCATGCAGTGCCTTATTATGAGCATAAGGATTTCAAACCTGACTGGAAGCCAGTGCAAGGACTGTTGCGTAAGTTTATTGATCCTTAGCTTAGAAAATATTTCAAAATCAGACAATAAGCAAGCTGATCTTTGAACTTCCTGTACTTAGCAAAAACCAAAATGAAAAGCACATCATCTGAAAATACAGCCGGTCTTGAAACATTAACCTAACAAGCTGTTTGTAGAAACCAGACGAGCAAGTACACAATCCATCATCCATGGTAAATGAATCCGAACAGTCTGATGTGCACTAAATCACGAATAATTACAGTAGGTCCCTTCGAGCAACAGGCTGCAGGTACACAGAGCAGAGAAGCGATTGAATCTGGCATCCCTCATCCGCTCTACATTTGCGAGAGATCATGTACGCTGCCAGTGCAATCACTCTCAAATTATGACTCACCTTTTTCAATAGACTGAGCTGGAGTGAAAACAATGGAGCACTAAACACGGGCTGGCAGGGCTTATTTCAATCAGAAAGCGAGTGTAATGGGAAATAACAGAACAACAGCGCAGACCTGGATAACTCAGTCACCGTTACAAGCTTGTGTCATCTTTTGTGTTTGGAGTATAATTCATGCAGAATGACTTTGCCTGTAACTGCCAATAAATGCATAGGCCTTTGCTTCACATTAATTAAGGTTTCCTACAGGATCCAAAATTACTTGTTTTAAACACATACAAGAAACGATGACATGCCATGACTACAAAATGCAGGACATTTCTTCCTCTGAGATGGAATTGTGACTAAAAACTCATCTGTTGTTAAGTATAACACTACCTATCCCGGTGTTTGTTATATTTCACAATATGAATACTAGCATGTACTAATATATGCTACATGGATTTAATATCAATGATTTTTCAGGTGTAAATTGGTTGTAAAAAGCAGTTGTCACTCTCATAGATTACCAAACTGACAAACTGGAGACAACCATATTTAACGGCAGTGTTAATCTCTATTGGCGCTCACCCAGCACTTAAGGCGAGACACTACAGGTGAATAGGGTAAATTTTTTAACTAGCAGATATCACCATGAAACTTTCCCAGTTGATTACCTACATTAAGATGAGAAAAAAATGTATTACAAGTTTTCTGTAATTTAATGTTTAAATATGCAAATTAGGCATTATCTAATTAAATATGCGCTAATTTTCATATATTTCAAAAAATGAAATCTGAGTATTGGATAAAGCCAGGTTCAAAATTCTTTTTTCATTGTGTTCACATATTAGATGGGAAAAAAATTACAGAAGGATTTATGGATATCTACTTTTGTTATCCTATAAATCAGAATATACTGTCAATAGCCTTAAAAAATATATTTTTGCCATGTTTTTTTGAATAAAATGTTATATAAATCGGGCTAGGAATAATATATTTACAAATCCCTCTGTAAATGTCTTCATAATATAACTAGGTACAAGACTGTAAAGTTTGGTGTGTATAGGTGCTACTGAAGTGGAGATTTCGGACTTTAAGTATGAGAGAAAAGTCATTTTGAGAAAACGGGCTTTAAAGATTTAGCATCAGCCAATGAGATTGCGCATTTGCGCCCTTTTACTTTCACGATTGGTTGCTGATAAAAAGGAAATGACCATATTTGGATGCAACAGCATTGTACAGGAGAGAGAGAGCTTTCTAAACGTGTGTGTGATGACAGGGTGCAGATCGCGATCGCGGAGCAACGGATGATTTAGATCGCCAACTTTTGATGAATTTATGAGAAATCTACAGACGCAAACATACAAAGTGCAGTAAAATAAAGACCTAAATGTGTATTTCGTACTTTTTTTCACCACAAGTCTGAAAGAAGACATGTTCCTGAAGACAAATATCCCGAAATCTCAAAATTGACCAGTGAAAAAAAAACTATGTTTTTGCCTGCCGTGTCTCGCCTTAAAGATTAAACGCAGCATAAGTACAATTGTGTTCCTGGGCTGTACCAACCAACACTGGTATAACCGGCATTATGGGATTGTAACTAAGACCAGTAAAGCCAGAAATTATGCAATGATAAATCACAATAGGACATTTAAGTTTGACAATAAATGAAAACCGTGTCATAGCTGAAACTGTACCAGCTCACAAGACAACAGATAAGTTTTCTTCAAAACAGCTTTAGTCAGGAACTCATCAAATTAAAACAGTCCGTCCACATGCAGGTCAGAGCATCCAGAATTTTCTGTCTGCATATTTGCCGTTTTATGACTTGTTAAAAGTCATAAGGTCTCAGTTCTGTCAGTTGAGATGATTGACAACTAGCCGAGGGTGGTGAGGAAATAGTGTTAATGGTATTTGTTAGTGACACATGGCCTACGGGCTGCATAGATGCACCTCATTACTTGTTTTACTATTATTTTTGAGTCATTCAGATCTGCTGCGCCTGGAACCGTTTTATAAATTATAATTATCATATGTATTCAGGGCTTTTCACGCAACACTTAACCCCAGGTTAATGTCTTTTTAACCCTGGGTAAAGCAACGTTTCTCACTTGTAATTTTGAAAGGGGTTAGTGATGCTTTTAAGCCTGGGTTATAAAGATCTGCAACAAAGTGCAGTGCCAAAGGTATAAAGTGCTAAAATGTTATGGCGAGTTGTTTAGCAACAGACAATTACCATAATCTGCCTCAATACATATTCATGAGCTTTGTACAATCAGAGAAACTTTCACAAGCTGTTTTGTGTTAAACATGTTGAAAAGTGATGCATAGCCTACTGTAAGTTCATCAGCATTTCACTTTTTTGTCCTTGTATTTGTACCATGTTTCAGAAGATCCAAGACAGGTTCATCATGTCACAACATTTACAGATGCACAAGCAAATATAAACACAAATCACATACAGTAGTTTATTTGTCAAATCAAATGTTATTAACTGCATAAATTTGGATTTAAAAAAAAAAATCCCTGTAAAACCAAGGTTTACAAATGTACAGTGAGAAATCTCTAAATAATGTCTACCCAAAATGAATGACCAAATATTGTATATGAATACTTACTTACTAAGATATGAATGATGTGAGAAATGGAACAAATCTATATTGCATGAGCGTGAATTGAAACAAATAAAACCTTCCCAAATGTAAATGTAGATAAACTTACACTTCCGAAAAGGAACATCTTCACCATACGTAGAATCAGATATGCCCAGAATATGTGGAGCATCAACAGGACGACAAGCATGAAGTTAAAAAAGTAGTATCCAAAGAATGGTGGGTAATAGTCAGGCGGGTAAACCCATGTGCAGTGAATGATCCTGGTATAAAAATACACGAGACAACAGAGATTTTTACAACTTTCGTAATATAAGTTATGTAAACTACCCCTGAGACTCTGAAAATAATAGTCACACACAAAATTCTCACCAAAATGGAAAGATTATGAGTCGCGTGACTATGAAGATAGCAGCAAATACCACAAAGATGCTGTTGCATGTTTTTTCCCATTTGGCATAGTTGAAGATCTTAGCGGACTGCAGAGAAATAACACACACACACACACACACACACACACAAACGATTTATCCATGCACATCATTATTTTTTTTTATTCATGTGCCCTCCTGATCTTTAATCAAAATAACTTCCCCTCCCTCTTGCATCGATATCTCTTCTTTTCTCTGATGATGTGTTTACTGGCGTGAGGGCGGGACAAACTGTCACTAGCATGAGATCCACCAATAGCAAACCACAACCATCCAACTATCCAATCAATTCCCCATGGACAAAAATTAAGTCCCACCATACATTTTTTTCATGTTCCAGAAGCCGTCTCATTCAGATGTACGTCACAGAGAAGCAGTGGTGGAATGTAACGAAGTACAAATACTTCGTTAAGTAAATTTTTCACGTATCTGTACTTTACTTAAGTAGAATCAATAGTGCATACTTTTTACTTTTACTTCGTTACATTTTGCAGCAATTATTATACTTTCTACTCCACTACATTTCTACAACGTTCTGTTACATTTTCGTTACATTTTCTGATCAGTTTTTCCCTGCCAAAACGTCATCCTGACCGTCCGTTCGTCGCACGTTTCTGTCTCACCAGTGAAGTTTGGTTGCCATAGATATATCAACCCAGTCACACTAAATGCGTCTCTATAGCACGCAGTGTGTTTATCGTGCAATTTATACGCGAAAATTAGTTTTTACATGCATAGGAAACGCATTGGTAGGTTTAGTAGTGATGTGGGGTGCGTGTGTATTATAAGTTTGGTTAGGATTAGTATGGCAAGCCAAGAGGTTCAGAATTACGCCATAAATGAATCGCGTTTACAGCCAAACGCCGTCATATACGGCGTTTTAACATAATATGTGTGTTTATATATGTACCGTATATAGTAAGGGTATATAGTAAGCTTGATGTGTATATTGCCTAATTGCAAGCTTGTTCAGAAATGGTGACAAAAACTTAAAATATAACTGCTTTTCCATCATATTGATCATCATTATATGAGTATTAGGTTGAATGAGTTAGAATTAACTGTTTTATTAATCATTAGAATATAGACATTAAGAGAATAAATTGTTATGCAAGTACTTTTACTTTTAATACTTAAAGTACATTTAAAATCAGGTACTTTTTACTTAAGTAGGGTTGTCATTGTGGTACTTCTACTTTTACTAAAGTAAATATGTCTCTGGTTATTTGTACTTTTACTTAAGTACTGAGATTCAGTACTTCCTCCACCACTGCAGAGAAGAAAAGACTATCATAACTCTTCCATTTCATGGCGACTTTTAATACGGACATTTATAAACATTCTTAAAGACGCCATTCTAGAGGTAAAACTCCAATAAAAAGGTAAAGTGGTAAAAGCCTAAAAAAAAATTTTTAAAAAGAGTAATCAAATAAAACAAGATTGGTCATATTAACCTCCAAAAGAATGTCTGAAGAATCGTGAATGAGCATGACCAGGGTCCCGACCCGGATGTAGTTTCCACACCAGGAGAAAGCCAAGAGTGTCAGTGTGGCCCAATGATGGATGATCTGTTCTTTAAAGTCCTAAAATATAGATATACATTTACAAAAAGTGTTCACAGTAATTCTCTGTGACAGTGAAAAAAGTAGATGTGCTGTTAGATGAGATCTGTATCTGAAATAAAAACAACAACAAATCAATCTAGTTTTAAATAATAGATTACAATAGCTTGCTTTGTGTGTCTTTATTTTTTTTTTAAATAATGATCAGATGTTTATTCCAGGTCATGTGATAAATGGTTAAGCTCAGGCAAGAGATAGTTTAAAGCTTAATTTGAAAGATTTCAAGTAGTTGAAATGTAAGGGTATAATTATGCAGAATAAGATCACATGATACTGACCTTTCGTTTGACATCGAATGTTATTCTGAGCACTAGAGACAAATAGAAGCTCATCTCCACAATATAATACCAATACTGTGACTCCAGCATGGACTGCAAAAGCGAAAACAACAATAAGCTCTCAGAGAAATGCACAATAACAAGGGATAAGCACTGTTACATTTATGACGGAAAATGTAAAAGACTCTTTTGTTTGATCAGAGTGAAGTATATATGCAATTCATTCATTGTGCTTTGAAGAGGGCGCTTTTTTGAGCGATTATTCTAGGAAACTCAATGTTTTGAGTGCCAATCTGGATGACATCACTGTTCTTTTGATTACAACCTGGAACTCCGATAACAAGTGAACGGTTCCAAAAAAACTCTTCAGCTGGGCCAACAAAAAACATCTTTCTTCTAAATATGGCCATGTTTGATTTGGAACTAGCGTGAGCTTTATTATCTGCCTTTTTTATTAGCCATGCCGTAAATGTGAGCATTGCGTGAACACTTTATCGGGGCCGGGTCAAAGCGAGCAAAATCTCCTCTGCTCTTATTAGTGCAGGTAATATGAACAATAAAATATTCCTTGGAGCAAATACAAGGAAATTAAAGATCTGAAGTCTGGAACATACCTGTTTGGGATAACCCTTCCATACCTCCCGCAAATTATAAAACCAGGGTTTCTGTGAGAAATAGAAGAAGCAATAAAAATACTGAATTAATAAAATGACAAAATGGACAGTTTAGCCTCTAAACGAACTTTAAACTCAAAACTTTACTTTCTGACGTGAAAAATTAGCTCTTTATCTATTTATTAATGACAGTTCCTAGAGCTGCAATGTGACTGTGTTCTAAAACAGCATTTTAAGGCATTAAAGGGATAGTTCACCCAAAAATGAAAATTCTGTCAGTAATTTACTCACCCTCATGTTGTTCCAACCCCGTAAGACTTTCGTTCATCTTCGGAACACAAATTAAGATATTTTTGATTAAATCTGAGAGCTGGATCACTCCTCCATAGGCTTCTTAAGGGGTCGAAACTGGCCGGCCCAAAAGTTATGAAAGACATCCTTAAAATAGTCCGAGTGACTACAGTGGCTCAATCTTAAGTTTATCAAGCGACTAGAATACTTTTTGTGCGCAAAAAAACAAACAAAAATAACGACTTTATTCAACTAATCATTTCCTTCTCTGTTGGCGTCGAGTGAGTTCACGTAGTGATATTGCGCAAAGCTTCTAGGTTGTACGTAAAAAAATATCTTAATTTGTGTTCCGTAGATGAACGAAAGTCTTACGGGGTTGGAACAACATGAGGATGAGTAATTACTGACAGAATTTTCATTTTTGTGTGAACTAACCCTTTAATAGGCACAATCACAACACAAAAACTGTTCCAAACGCAATCACTTTCGGAAATCCGATAATGTAGTGGTTCTCAGGGGGCTAAGATGACTTAAAATGATTTAAAATAAGATTATAGTTAAATAAGATTAACTTCAAAATGAGCTAAATAATAAATATAAAGATATTTCGTTTTTAAATTGCCCTCTCAACAACTGTGAGGAAATGTGAGGAAGCCTTGGCGCTTTAATAAATTAAAACGCCATGAGCATTTTTATAATGAATATACAGTTGAGTTCTAGTTTTGACAAGCTCTACAATAATTTGTCAGGTAGAAAGTAAGTAAAAATATATTTTTTTAAATCCTTATTCCTTAAAGGTGACATATTATGCCCCTTTTCACAAGATGTAATATAAATCTATGGTGTCCCCAGAATGTGTCTGTGAAATCTCAGCTCAAAATACCCCCCAGATAATTTATTATAGCTTGTCAAATTTGCCCCTCTTTGGGTGTGAGCAAAAACGCTCCGTTTGTGTGTGTGTGTGTCCCTTTAAATGCAAATGAACTGCTGAACCCCACCCCCATTCAGAAGACGCTTGATCCTTTACATGAGCTTCAGATACAATAATAAAACACACAAATCCCACTCATCCAAAATCTCAGAAAGAACCAGTAGCGAGTGCAGCCTTACGGAAAGACTCAGGAAGAGGTTGCAACATTTAGACGCATATGGAAGTTTCTGAATGGTTAGTGGATACATTCATAGTTGTTGTGGAGTTACACTGATTCAGCTGTTTCTGGGGGATTTCCATTGAAAATAAAATTAATCCACTGCTCTCTTGACTCATCTGAGGCTGGGACTCCAAATAGCGTTCTGTGCTTGTCTGTGGAGCCAACGACAAAACAGTTTGCATGCTTTGCTCGAACTTTTGCCATTGCGTTAGAACTGGTTTGTTCCTTGCAAAAAACAAATGGCGGCGCCGTGAGTGGAAATGTGCAGATTAAGTGGCGGGAATATTATAATAAGATCCCCTTCCTACGTCAGAAGGGGAGCGAAATCTGACCGGCTTTTTTTTTGACATGCTTGCAGAAAAAGGCTTACCAAAACAAAGTTACTAGGTTGTCACTTTTCACGTTTTCTGGGTTGGTAGATGCACCGGGGACCCGATTATAGCACTTAAAGTCAGATTTTCATGATATGTCATCTTTAAATCCTAAAAAGAGTGTGATCCCTTAACCCTAACTCTATAAAAATGAATGATTCCAGAAGTTTAACGGTTAATTATAATTCATTATTTTAGTTTTAAGTTACTTTTTAAATTCACAGAAACCGTGAGCGTCCTTAGGTTAAAATCATTTTTGAAAACAAAAATAGGATTTTGTTGTGTATAATGGGGGCATTTGTATGATGCTGCCTATGTAGTGTGTTTCAAATCGGTCTGAATTCACCACAGTGCTCATCTGTCAGAAGCTTCACACACATTAGATCTCTAAACCCCTGACAGCATCATAGAGCTGATCACAGAACTGGTTCAATGGTCCTAATCATGCCAATCATCAGTACAGGAAAACAGGCATATTTTTCATAGATGTCTTAATTCAGATATGCAATTTTAAAGGAAAACCATAAGAAAAGGATAAACTTACATCATACAGGGCTATGATTCCACCAATGAACGCCCCCAGATAAAACACCATTCGCCAACTATAGAGACAACCCAACAGAGAGGAACGCTCATGTGATCAGGGATTACATTCAGATCAAAACCACTAATCAAAAAACAGTAACAAGTCAGCAACCATTTGGTTTTTGGGCCTTAGACTCAATGACCGCTGCAGTGCATTGTGGGCATTACATATGGAACAGTGTTTAATAGGTAAGGATTAACAATACTTCTATAGCATTTATTAATCTTAATGTCTTAACATTAACAAAGGTTAATACATGTTGTAAAAGTATATGAAACAGCTAAAGGTGCATCTTTTTCGTCAACACTTGTCCCATTAATACTAACACTTATTCTGTATATCTATTTATTTTTTATACATTTTTTTTTTAAGTTGCCCAACTGTTGGTTTGTTTTTTTCGATTGTTCACCTCATTTGTAAGTCACTTTGGATAAAAGCATCTGCTAGCTAAATGATTAAATGCATATATAATTTTAACTAAAGCTAACAAATGAGACCTTATTGTAAAGTGTTACTGTTGTATAAAATAAAAACAATTGTATAAATTCATTTAGCAATAATCTATTTGGATTATTGTGACTTACTCAGATGAGTTTTTGGTGATTTCTTGATGAAAATAAATTATAAATAAAATGATATAGAAGAAAATTATATATAAAATAAAATTATTTTATTTTTGAATCCTACTTCCTGTGGTTACGTCATTTGTGCATCTATTTCTTATTTTAATTCACTTATTTAGTTTCATTCTTTATGAAGCTTAATTTTGAAAGTGTTTCTATATCTGAAAAAGTCAATTAATTAAAAAACCATTGACATTTTAATGTCTAAAATTATTTTGTCAGATAAAAATATTTTTTTTCTAAATCCTCATCAAATCACACAGACTGGAAAAGACTATAATAATTATTATTATTTTAGTTTTAGTTACTTTTTGAATTAAATAATTTTTACTTCCATTTGTGCATCTTGATATTCTGGACATCTGCGATGTGCGATTCAGTGTCCAAAAACCCCTAAAATTTAAAGTGTTCTGGTACAGCAGCAAATTAGACTGCTTACATTTACACATTTAGCTTTATATTTTTTATTTTTTAAAAAGCCTTGCATTCAAGGTTTACAGTTCATTTTAACATGTTATGCATTCCCTGAGTACCAAACCTATGTCCTTGCCATTTCTAGTGCAATGTTTGAAGACTGCTAGAACACTATTTATCGTCATTATACGACAATATTTGACAACAGAATGCAGCATTTGACCAATCACTATCAAGTATTCCAGACAGCTATGTGGTAAGTCAAATAAGTGTATGTACAGTATATTTATTTCATACCTGGCCTCTCTAAATTTTTTCAGAACACTAGGACGGTCGTGGTTTCGTCTCCTCCTGAACCAGCGCTCCACTTGTCTACTTGACCAGCTGCATTTTTTACACAGACCATCTATATCTGCCTGATAAAAGATGGAAGAGATCAGTGTTGCAAGTCATGAAATACTGCAACCATCTCCTGCAGAAAAGTGCCATTTTGATTATGAAAAGTGGTGTAGTAATTATGGCTTTATTTGACCAATAAATACTCAGTTTTGCCAGATTTACATAAACACTTGAAAAATAATACATTTTAAGGCTGTATAATTAAATAATTATTCTAAGAAATAAAAATAAATATAAAAAAAATTATTCTTATCAAACACATCCAGTCAGACTTACATGAAGGCATTACATACATTTCTGAAGGAGCCAAAACTGCTTCATTAGATGAATAACCTCAAGTTTTGGTCTGGGTTGAGAGTTTAATCTAATAATTAATTTTTGATTTATAAATCAGATTTTTTATTTTAAATAATTAAATAATTCAATCTAAATATGAAATAGAGTAAAATGTTATTTGTATAGGTATATGGGTGAAAATTCTTTTTTTTTTTAAAGGAAAACTAAATAAAACCTAAATATAAAATCACGTGATCATGGATGGAACTGAGTTCAATTCAAGTTTCCAAAAAAGCTTTAGAGAATCTTGCCTTAAATGATGTCTTAAACAGTGATGCTCCCCCGTGATCAAGCCACAAGCCACTTTAAATCTGACGAGGATCTGAAGTTCAGAATGATATGTTGTTAAGTGAGAGGAGAAGACGTTACCTGTCCTGGGTTTTTTGACTTTGTATTGAAATAATGTTCAAGAACAGCATTGTGCTCCACTTTGTATCCGGTCTTCTCTGAAACGCCAAACGAAGCTGCAAACGGTGTCGCTATTAACCTAAACAGACAGACATTAGTAGAATTAAACCATTGACATTTTTTATAATGTATATGTTGGCATTATCTCCCAAACATGAATAATCACTGATGCATTTACATCCTTCATATGAATCATATTCAAAACTTAAGGAATCAACGCAAAACTATAGTTAAGCTGGTTTCAAAATAGTGTAGCCTTTCTAGTAAAAAGCTACTTTTTATTAGCAGACTAGCAGTGCAGGTGCAGCACAAAAAAAACTCTACCCTGACAAAAAGATCAAGCTAGGTTATGCTGATCTCAAAGCCTGACCAGTTGAAATGTGGCTAAAATCACTCTGAAACCATCCAATACCAGCCTGACCAGACTGGGATATGAGAAAATTAGGCCGGTTTAAGCATTTTTGTTGTGCATGGTTTTTTTTTTTGTTTTTTTTTTTTTTTAGAAGGCTAAATAGCCGTTTAAGGTCTTTTTCATAGTTAAATATTTTATTTAGTTCAGATTTAGTGTAAAGGTAACTCTTTACCACTCTGTAAAGAGTTTAGTAATCAGGTCACTGATCAGGAAGTCAGCCATTTTAAGGCCCGTCTCAATCACAGAATCCTTTCAGTGCACTCAAACTTTCGATCCCTAAAAAGTCCCACTATGCACCGTGAAAACCAGCAAGTATTGATGCTCGCTATTGTTTCCTTACTGGAAAATCTGAAGCGCGAAACAAATCACATGGGTTTTTTTTGTTTTGTACAAAAAACATTAATTATATTTTGCCATAAAAATGCATCGCTAGACAGGTAATTTACCTAATTTGGCTAACTTTTAAAATAAATTTACAGATGAAATGTTGCAGCGATATGTAACAATCAAAGTATTTATCATTAAATAACAAAAAAATGTATGTCATAAAGATATCTGTGCTGCTGTAAATCATAAATACCAGTAGTGGCGTTGTCACCTGAAGGGGAGCTAGTGAACTGATTGAGATGCACACTGTATCTTGTATTTAGTTTATTAAGCCAAAACCCTAATTTCTTATGTCACAAACACACGTCAATACAGTTGGTTATTTTTTGGCAGCTTAGAAGCTTATAGTGTAGCTATACTTCAAAAGGGTAGCTTTACTTTAAAACGAGCTTTTAAGCTTTAAATTAGTGCTGGGCGGTATCACGGTATTTTTCAAAATACCGTGTATATTTTTTCCCTAAACATGACTGGGTTAACCACATTTTCTACTGAGTGAGAGAGGAAATACTGCAGTAGATTGACTTAGAATGCACTATTTTATTGTCATGAGTGAATTTGTAGAAGAAATCCACACTATTAATACAGGGTTGCAAGGCTGTTTACGAAATAGGTGCCAGCAGAAGGCGCTTTAGGAGCGGCAGAAATAGCGGTTTCCCCGGTAACGCCTGTACACAAAGCAGCTCAACGCACATAAACGCTGCTTTATCGGGAAAGAAAAAAGAAAGATTCAATCGTAATAACAAAGAAACTTTTCTAAAGACCGTTAGTTCACTTCAGATACATTCATATAAAAACACAATGCCAACCACAAATAGATTATCCAAAAGGCTGTGTTGATATTGTGAAACACTGTAATATATTTTGACAGCTATCAATTATAGTTTAACCTATCCATCTTCACAGTCACGCTTAGTAACACATCCATCACCACAGAGTGCAAGAGTGAAAAGGGACCCTCTCAAACAATGTCGCGCCGCACCGCGTTCCGATCATAGGTTCCGATCGTTATTAAAGCGTCATACACCGGTATTGCTGTATATTAAAAATTCATATCATAACAAAAATAAACACCGGTATTCGGTATGAACGGTATACCGCCCAGCACTACTTTAAATGTTTTCTAACTTGATCATGTCTGTTGCAAAAATGTATCATTTAACAATTCATTTTAAACTGTACTGTAAATCCTGGGTTAACATTCTTCTTTTCATATTTACAAGGTTAATAACATTGATTGGCTTGGCCAAATTTTTAAATACAAATTTTGGGCCAGTCTAGTTTTTTTATGTGACTGTTAAAATAAAAAAAAATTGTTATAACCAATGTTAAAGAAAACAAATTACATGACTAACTTGTAAGACTAGTCTAAGCAGTTTATGCAACCAGGCACAGATGTGGTATATTTAAAATGTTTGATGATAAATATAGTATACATATACACTACTGTTCAAAAATTTGAGGCAGTAAGATTAAAAAAAAAAAAAAAAATAATACTTTTATTCAGCATGCACACATTAAATTGATTAAGATTGACAGTAAAACAAATGTAGATAATGTTTTTTGTTGAAAAAGAAAACATCTTTCGTGTTACATTATGTGTATTGAGTTGGCCCACTTGATTTATTTTTTTCACTTCAGATTTTCCAGTATAAGTAAACATAGTGAGCATCGATGCTTCCTGGTTTTCACAGTGGATTGTGGGACTTTTTAGGGAGTGAACGTTTCAGTGCACTGAAAGGATTCTGCGATTGAGACGGCCCTTAAAATGGCTGACTTCCTGATCAGTGACCTGATTACGAAACTAAGAAGCTGATTAAGACGCACCACAGAGTTGTAAACACAGTTACCAATAAATCTGAACTAAATAGTTAACAATGAAAAAGACCTAAAACAGCCATGCAGCCTTCTCAAAAAAAAAAAAAAAACACATGCAGAAATGCTTAAACCAGCCTTTGCTAGTTTTCTCATCTACCAGTCTGGTCAGGTTGGTATATTGGATGGTTTTCAAAATGGGTCATTTACAAATTCTCACGCTGGCCGTTGAAATATATACCCTGAGTGATAGATCAAATTTTAATTTCCTGCAACATAATCAGAGAAGTTCCACCACCAACTCACCTTTCAAACAAGTATCTGACTAGCAGGAAGACTAAAGCATACGGCACAATGACGTAGAGGTGGGAAACTTTGGCATAGACAAGCCCTTCCTCATCTTTGAGATCGGCCCACGTGAGGTTCCCCGGCAGCCACAGCCGGTCCCACCACAACCACTCACCAATCATACCAATCATGACCACGATCTGTTGGACACAGCAGATGACAAGTACAGTTATACAAGACTGCATGCATCACGTTACAAAAAGAAGTGTTTTCAGCCAACACTCGAATACTGAATTCATTCGAGGAGAAAGTGTGAGTGTATTCAACATGAAAACAAAATTGACACCATTTACACTCTTGATACATATTGCATCCTGGACTTAAGGTTCATGATGCATCAGTGCACACATTATTCTAAAGAAGAGAAGTTTCATAATGTTTTATCCTGTTTATTATTGATATGATACCTACATATCGGTACATAATTTAATACATTTAATAGTAGCATCCATCCATACAGCATAAAAGTCTATGGTACACTCATAAATATATGATTGTAGAACCTTACAAAAAAATGGATTTTTCTATAATATTTTAAAGAGAGATGAGAGAAGATTTAGGAAATGAAATAGGAGATATTGGATGTTCATTTTGATTAAGGACATATTAGATATAGCATAGACACATAAGCATTAGTGATGAAATCAGGCTTATTCAGCACTGTGTATTTATGCCATAAAATAAAAAAATTATTTATTTTTTTTGCATCCAATTACTACAAGCGTGCTATGGAAGCAGAATCTTGCTAATACCACACAATAAAAGGTCGATATCAAAAGACTTTCATGAAACTATCATTGCTAAAATGGTTGAGATTCTGTAGCTCTAATTGTATATATACATAACTGTGCAGATTCTGAAAAAGGATTTGTCCAATTTGTTGACAGTAAAACAGCTTTGCTGCTACTGAAAACAGTATTTAATAGGGCCGATGCTAACCCGAGGCAAAACCACATGCTTATGTACCAACACACACCTGAGACGCCATGCACCTGAACAGCAAATACAAGTAGGGCTGGTGTGAACCAACATGTTATTGTGCTGATTTAAAGTTCAAATCTATTTAGTGAATTGCATCATGTTCAACAGCAACTCACACCCAAGCTAATACAGTCTAAGTATTAGTTGTGATAAACAAATACACTGAAGCTATGCTACAGGGAAATATTAATGAGGCTATCACAAGTGAAAGTATGTCTCAGAGACTAAACTATTACATAATCCTGGGTTATTTTGTTCAGGTTTCACACGGTCCAGACTGGGTTAGTAATTAATCCTCCTGGGTATCAAGTTTTGAGATATTAAACTGTACTGTAAATCCTGGGTTGATTGGCTTGGTCAAATTTTTAAATGCACCATAACAAAGGTGCCTTAAAAGTGTCGCGAACCATATCAAGCAGGTTATACGAGGACTTTATTGTGCCGTGATGTGATCTTATTGCCGCCTCAACCAAAATAGATTTCCATTTCAAATAAAAGCTGTTCTTTTCAACTTTCTATTAATCAAATAATCAATTGGGGGGAGGGGTGTTACAGTTTCCACAAAAATATGAAGCAGCACAGCTTTTTTCAACATTGATAATAATAAGAAATGTTTTTTGAGCAGCAAATCAGCATATTGGAATGATTTCTGACGGATCATGTGACACTGAAGACTGGAGTAATGATGCTGAAAATTCACCTTTGATCACAGAAATCAATTAGGCCTACATTTGTAAATGTATTACAATAGAAAAAGGTTGCAATACTATTTCACAATTATATTGTTTTCACTGTATTTTTTATTAAATAAATGCAGCCTTGGTGATCATAATCTTCCAAAAAACAAAATTTTAGTATCTTACCAACCCAAACTATTGAACTAATGGCTAACTAATAACTGCTTTGGCTTTGATCAGGCAATATTAACAGCACACAATGGCATTCTATCTCCATGACTGTACTATGACCAAAGAGAATGACCAGAACACCACGTCAACTGAACATAACAAAGAGCTCAGAGTTTGTTTGAACAAGACGCCGAGTAAGCAAAGCTTGCCTCCTCAGATCACACAGAATTATCATCATCTTTCCCTTCAACCCCAATACTGCCACACACAACTCTAATAATTATTATTTACACCACTATCTTCTTTGTTAACCATTTCTGATAACAAGAAACTAGGATATACGAACTGAAAAGTTAAAATTCAAGAACTGACCAAACTTAAGGACATTAACAATTTTCAAACTTTAGCATTACAGTACAACCCAGCTTATAATGTAGAAGTTGTCAATTGTAAAACACAATCAATTTAAATAAAAATAAAAACAACAACAGAAAAACCTGGGTTTAACATGATTTTCCATTCCATTCCAGTCTTAAAATCCAAAAAAGCTCTTGAACAGGCAAACAGGTTTTCACAAGCTCTACTTCATTGGAGACACTTTCCAAACAACTTCCATAAAAGGCCTCTTATTTTCAACATTCTTCTTGTTTCAAGACTGAAAGTTTTTCAAAGGTCAAGAAAAACCAAACACTTAGGCTACCTCTGCTTCCTGTCAGCGGTTCAGTGCAGTGTTCAGGTAAACGTCTGATCTCACGCCGCTCGCTCTGCGTTCCGCTGGTGAAGTGAGTAACATGACAGCACCGCTGCTCTCGAGACCCACGGGAATGTTCTTTGTCTGAATTACTTTGCGGTCACACCCTACCTTAGTAGCAATTGAGTTGCTTCCTCCCCTCCCTCCTTACCTTCTGTAGATTAACAGGCATTCGGTGGGTTCACTCATGCACACACACATAAAAACTGCGCCCTAAGGACTCACCTTATTTGCATAGTGCAACTGATAGAGCTGCAAAAGGTGAGGGCGAGATAGTGTGTGAACAGCCAGATACGACAAAAGGACAAACAGTCAATGACTCAATTGGGTGTGTTTCCAGTAAAAACACGCTGCCTGTACTTGCACCCATTAGGTATCTGGAATTCAGGAGACACCTATATAATAGTTTTACTTCAAGACACACACTTTACATTGGACATCAAGTGGTGACCAAACACAGCACCACAATTGGTGCATAAAAAGTAAACAAAGGCATCCTTCAAAGACCCAGAACCAGATATGAAGAATGAAGACCCGGAGTCAGAATTATAAAAAATTAAAGAAAAGTTTTACTGAAGATAGTTTGCATTTTCATCAGCAGAAGTCAGCTTCAAGACTCACACAGGAGTTCGTAGGCCGCCTCGCTTACAGTTACAAAGATCACAGCAGTTATACCATTCCCAAGGTCTAAGCTACGTCATTGCTTACAGGTTGAATGATTCTCATTGGCTAAGAAACATTAAGAGCCTAAACAATTTAACACATGTGAGGAGATAGGGGTGCCTATCGCCATTAGTAAAGATAGTTGTCGTCCACTCATTAGATTTAGGTCTGTGGTGGCCTCGCAGGTTAGAGAAGGGCGCCGGGGTGTCTGGTCCGAACGTCCAGAACCTACATAGAATGTCATACGCACACACACACAAATAACAGACACTAGCAAATAACAGCTCCCATCAAGGCTGAAGAGAGTCTGAGCTCCTTATTATCAGTTAAGTATACCAAAACATAATGCTAAAACATTCACTCGTTTGGGAGAAAAACAGATCACTGGCATTTACTCCCAAGGAAGGAAATATACTGGAAAGAATACATTTTAATACAACAATTAAAGTTTGATAGTAACGCTCAATATAGCTTGACCATATGTCCAGCGAAGGATCATGTGTCCACGCTGCCTTTAGGACCCTCTAACCTTTCTACTGATCCCAGAGAAAGAGACAAACGGCCTTGTGGGTTACGTGGCCTTCGTGTCCTGCGTGTACTACGTGCAATCTCAAAGTAAGATTGGAATGCACCTAAAAGAAACTGGTTACTTGCATCCATGCATTTAAGAAAATATAATTTCACAGGCACAAAGAATATAAAAATTATTATGTGATAATGAATATATTTGATTATTGATTTTTATAAAGGAAGTATATAACCATTCAAAATGATATATGATTATATATGTATTTGAAGAGGCAAGGGATTTTGACCAACCCTTCATCCTGAAAGTGCATAGATCCTATCAAACTTATAAACATGATGAAACAGAATAGAAACAATTAAATTCTACTTCTTAAATGTCTCCTAAATTGGTGAAACTCAATCCATACATTGTGGTTGACATAAATCATATTTATTCGCACTGCAAGTGAACCCTTATGTAATCTTTTCCCCTTTTTAATCTAATTTTGCTGACTTCTAAGCAATAGATACATTTCCACCAGAATTATTTTGCTCTATGATCATTTGTTTTTGTAGCACTATATTATTTATATTTAGTATTTTTCCTGCCTTTCTTCTGGGGTCAAAGTTGATTTTGAAGGAAGTTTTTTTTTTACTCGAGGCTGCATTTGTTAGATTAAAAACGAAGTAAATTACAGTAATATTATGAAATATTATTGCAATTGAATTGTTTTCTATTAGAATATATTGTAAAATGTAATTTATTCCTGTGATGCAAAGCTGAATTTTCAGCATCATTACTCCAGTCTTCAGTGTCACATGATCCTTCAATCATTCTAATATGCTGATTTCAAGAAACATTTCTTATTATTATGAATGTTGAAAACAGTTGTGCTGCTTAATATTTTTGTGGAAACCACGAATTTATGCGCGTTCAAAATATTTTTAGCAACACATTATTTGAGAAATCATTCATGTCTATTGCTCAGTTTATATCAGGTTTGTTTATATTGAGGAGCTAGACCGAAGCTGAAGGTTTTATCCTCTGGGATCCTTAATTTAATTAACGTTCGCTAGTAACATTCAAGTAGAGGAGAGTCTAATCATCTAACAAGCCTAATTATGACATTAATGTGAGCAACAGCTGTTTGATCTACAGTAGTGGTGCCTTTCCCTCTGAAAAGCTGTTGCCGGATGTTGATTCTGGATATTTGCATATAAAATTATGGAAATTTGTGATGTAATTTAAATGCTAAATGATGGTGTTTGGCCTAATCCCACAATCCCATTTAGTGGAATAAACCTGCTGTTAATATGGGTTTACATACACAGTAATCACAGAGTTTATACCTTTTTGAGTGAAAAAAAATAGACAAACACAAATGCTGAATGAGGGACTGGAGCCATACCAGAATATCACAGGACGGACTCTTGGAAAATTTGCTTTTGTTAGGAAACTTATTATGGAGTGATTTAGCAGACTAAATTAAACAAATGAATATAAAATAAAATTGTTTAACATGCCTTGCAAGTTTTTTTTTTTCATTTTAAATGATATTTCACATGGCATTTTGTGTCCTTTTTCATTTTAGGTGAAAGAATAAAAGTAGAATGAACTAAGCACAAATATATAAGATTATTATATTTCATAAAAATTAGTTTACGTTAGCTCAGCTCCGCTAAATAATATTACATATAATATAACAGATACATACATTTTTATTTTTTTGCAACATTCCATGCCGTATTTAATAATTTAATTATATATATTATATATTTAATTTAGTCCCTCTATATCTTATTAATTTTGATGCAAAAATAATCTTTTGGTTCAGCAATGTATTGTTTATTCACTGCAGTAATTGAACAGATAATTCTTTATCAGTCATAATCTATCCCTGTTAGTTAGCTTAAAGTCAAAGCTAACTAACTAATCCTGTTTCTCTGCAGTTCTGCGCTGTTTAACAGTTTTAGAAGTGAGGTAGGGTTGTAGGGAAAGAGACCCCTGTTATGTAGTCTAGTTACGGTGGTCCTCAAGTCCATAAGACACACGAACACTTTATCTAACAGAGATTCGGATGCATATTCAGTCTGAACTTGTTCTACCGCCATTCCAGATGGGCAAAAAGATGCTTCAGCATCTGTCCTACCAGAATCTACATCAGTATTCCCAGAAACCTCATCGGATTCGTCTGAGCTCCCATAATCGACCAGTCGTGGAACTGAGACTTCATTACCTGCTTGAACAACATACAGCGTCTCTGAATTAGCAGAAGGAGCTTGAACGGAAGGATCAGTTCCTCTTCTAGTGGCACCAAGCCTCCCATCACAATCTTCAATATGACGACAAGACCTACACAAGCCTGTCCAGTCCTCACGGAGAAGCTTCAGGTAGTGGACGCAGTATTCCAGGAAACATGTTTCCGAAGAGATGAGGAAGTCAAGTAGCACGGTGTGGTCAAAGGAGAGGGAGCGGAGAAGAAGTATGAAATGACAGTGAGGGTTACAGCCCCAGACGCAAACCCCCGAGTCTGAGGAACTCAAACTGTGAAGAAAAGGGAAAAAAAAAAACATTTACCATTAAATTATTTTTATTTGTTAATAAAAAAAAAAAACATTATAGATATATATATTTTTTTTTTTAATAAAAACATTTTCATTTATATATAAATATATATATAATAGCCAGTGTTTCTTATTTCTTAACAAATAAATAAATAGATGAATAAATAAAACCTTTTAAAATATTTTTTAGAACTGTTATAAAGTTCTTTATTCTATTAAAGCTGTAAAGGTCCGTTCACACCAAGAACGATAACTATATTAGTGTCCACACCAACGCACGATAACTTTCTGTACATCATAAGCACGAACTGTAGTTTTGTCCTCTGCCGCATTAAACGCACAATCTCTTTAAAACAGGATGGATTCTATTATATTTGCGGTTAACATTTTCATTGTTTATCAGCTGGAAAAAAATTTTTCTGAAATTGATTCCAACACTATTGTTCCTCTGTGTCATTATCGTTAGTTGTGCTTGTTTTTGATACCAAGCAACCCCTCAGAACTCTAGCAAAATTCCAAGAAACTTCCTAAACTTAAGGCTGGAACACACTTTGTGACTTTTACCCCCTGTTTCAGAGACAACGCTTAAGTCTAGTCCAGGACTAAAATGCATTTTTAAGTGAACTTAACTGAAAGCAACTTGCACTGACATATCTTAAAATATATCAGTGCCCATATTTTGTCTCAATATGCACACCAGTAATGTTTTTTTTTCTAAGGCACGTTTTAAAAAGCTACTTAAATGCGCTAATTAAACTAAAGCCTAACCCTGGCTTAATCTAAGCCTTGTCTGTGAAACCGGGATCTAAATAGACTTCAAAACACTAGGCATCATATACTTGCTGGCTTTGTAAATGGTTACAGAGAAAAATTAGGCATCATACACTAAACAACTCAGGATCATTCTTTCAAGTCGTTCTGAACACAACAAACTCACACAACAATACTGCTAGGAGACATGTGACAAATAAAAACAATATGTGTTCTAAAATTGACTCAAAATATCAAACCTGTTTGAAATCTTCCAACTGGATTGGTAAATTTTTTTTTTTCTTTTTTGTGAAATACATCAACTCTGACTGCCCAAATATTTGAGTTTGATTTAATTTCAGCAATGCTGTACATTAATACCTCTGGAAATACCCATATCAGTTGGAAGAGATATAGTTCTGGGTACATTATAGCAGGATTTATAAAACAGATTCCAAACCTTTTTTGATATAAATACAAGCCAATCAAAGTCTTGCTTGATTCTATCATGTCATCATCCTGTTCAGCAAATACTACAGACACCCAGGAGCAGCTGTGAGTGTCTGCAGACATCAGAGTCCCGTGACGCTGGAGGAATGACATGAGCTCTATTAAATACTGATGGATGTCAATGTCACTCTGAGATCCTGGAAACACAGGAAAGACATGTATTACGAAGAGATACATTGCCCCCTGCTGTTGTAAATTATTAAATGGCATGTTTTATTTTTAACTAGGACTAGGTGAAGGACTAGAAAGTTACATTTATGCTTCACACATGCAAGCAAACATTCTTACAAATGCGTTGTGAATCAGTGCTTCCAAATAATTCAAAACATGCAATTCATTTGAGACAGAACTACTGTGGTACTTTTATAGTATTTATTAATATTTTTAATGAGATTTTATTTTTTAAAAATATATATATATTTAAATTAGTTTGTATTTTAGTAATTTTGTTGTGTTTTTGACCATTTAAATTTATTTTTTTTATTTATCTTTCATTTATTTTTATTTTAGTAATTTTAATACTTTCACTTTATATTTCAGTTTATTTTCTAAGGCCAAGGTATTAAGTTTTCATCCAATATTTATATTTAATTTCAGCTTTATTTAGAGTAATGAAAACCATTTAAAAAAGTTTTAGTTAAACAACAATAACAACATGGGTGGCACAATCATATGGAACAACGTTCATGATTTATTGCAAAAAAATGTAAGAGTACTATATCTAAACTGGTTTTTCACAATAGCAAATGTTCTGCATTTCTTAAAAATAAGTGTAATTTCTATTCTATATCATTCAGAATACCTTAGCAACCCTATAGCATATAAAACAGTTTTCAAACTATACCAAATCTGTTGTCCAGTTGTTACTATGATGATGTGAAAACTAATAAATGACAGTTACCTTTCCAATGAAGGCGCTGAATGTTTATTTCTAGTGACTTCAGCAAAATCAGGCTCACGGCTCTCAGTATCACATCGTCCTTCTGCGTCCCAGCGAGTCTTACATCACAGTTCCCACCAAAGAAACTGGCCTGAGCTTTCACAGGCACTTCCTTGAGCCAGCCTGCATTCACTTCCAGTAACACTCCATCTGCCATGGTCAACATGTCCTCAGTCAGGCTGTGATCGTCATGTGGCGCAGACTGAGCTTCACCTAAAGCCCAATCGTCCCCGGCTCTCCGTAGAAGACTTTTCTTTAGAAGAAGCAGTGCTCGTTTCTTCACAAAATATTCCACATCTGTTCTCATGACACGAAGGAGCGCTCGCGACTGAACAAATATGACTCTCTGAACAGAAGAACAGACTCCATATCTGAGCCGGGCAGCGCTGAGGACTTCAAGGAGGTCGAAGAACTCACACATGGTTTTAGAAAGATTCATCAGTTCTCTTTTGTGAGGGTCCTGTGTGTCTTGAGTCAGAAGGTTGGTGTGCAAGGAAGTGATGGAGGCATCCAATCCAGAAAGAAGCTTCATCAAAACATCTATGGAGAAGACAAACAAGCAGCTGGAATTAAGAGATCATGTCCTCTGAAATGAGAAGGCAAAAATTGGTTGTTTAATCCAAAGTAAATTCATGCTATACAATAATATTTTTTATGTTTATCTGAACACATTATACATTAAACTAAGTCTACAATTATTTATGCATTTTTTAAAATTATTTTTATATTGCTTCAAAAATAACTACAATCTTTTGTGTAACTTTTATTTGTAACTACTAGCTGTTGTTTGACTGTCATTCTAATAGTAATAACAACAAAGACATTTATTATTATTATTGATAATAATAAAACAACTTCCAACATGAAAAAACAATGGTTTAATAATCAGATAATGATAATTTATTCTCTTATCAGTCTCAAATCGTTATTTTTTTCATACTGGAAATTACTTGTTTATTTTGGATAATAATAATGTTTTATATCTATAATAATACAAATTGTAATATTAATAAGTCACCTCATTTCATGGCAAAAGGTATTGCTTTATTATTATTATTATATATAATAATAATAATAATAATAATGACAATACCTACCAACATGAAATAAATAATGGTATGAGAATAATTCTCCAACAAATCGGTAAACATGCTGACGGCAGAAATTTAACCCAGCTACTAAGCATCATTTCTTGTTTTCAAGTCATTTCAAGATGAATTTTCAATTTAGATTCAGATATAAGTGAAAGTCATGATGTCTGAGTGAGTTATTTACATCGTAATTACTACATATTCAGTCAATTATCCATATTTTTCTAAGAGGTCATGCCTGTCTTGCCACCTCAGATAAAACCTTTTGTAAGGTTCCACTACATTTACATGAGGATACTAAAACAACTATATCTACAACTGTATGTGAACACACTTCAGTACCTGTTTTCCTCTGGCATATTTCTCCTCTCAGCACTCCTTTAATCACAGCAGTCAGTGACCACAGACAGGAGTCCAGTTCACTGCTGGCTGATGGTTTCTGAAACACTTCAGCACACCTGTGTCTCCAGATTGAGCTGCTGCCTCCCTATAATCAACAATTACAGCACTTAGTGAACCCACACTGCTTGAGAGAGAGAAACAGAGAAAGCATTCATAATATATCAAACCCTCATAATACTCAGATGGAGTAGTTGCCAGTCCAAGTTAATACTCACATTGATGGAAATGTCACTGATGACATAGACTGATATACACTTTGCAGATAAATGAGACACCAGCTGGTCTTGACAGTTGAGGAGAGAAACCTGTATAATGGGTCAAAAAACATGTTCAAACTGACAGATATGAAATGAACAGCTATAGGGTCTCTACATTAAACTCTAGGCTTAATGTATAATCACAAGCTTGCCCAAGTCACATTTTGTCTATAAAAAAAATTCCAAAGTGATGCAGTTTGCAACATCTACTACACCACTATTGAACAGAACTGAATCAACATTGAACTGACTCGAGCTGAATGACGACACTATTGTCTTCTTAAGAGATGCTTACAGCTGAATTGAACCAGTTCTATAATTAATGAACTTCACACACTTATGGAACCGAACTAAATCAACATTAAACTGAACTGAGCTGAATAAGAACACTTTTATCTTGCTACAGCTGCTAATTTGAACTTGTCTTATATTTGAAGAAGTTTACATCATTAATTCAGTTATTCTCCTGTTTATTAATGTGAAGCTGCTTCGAAACAACCTGTATTGTACTGTATAAAGTGCTACAGGAATAAAGGTGACATGACTTAAAAGAAAAGAAAAACAATAAGAAAATATATTTTACACAAAATAAATTTAACACATCACCCATTATATTTTTTGCATTGTGCTATTATTTTCAATAAAATTAAGAAGTTTCTATGCACAAATAAAAAAAAAACTGAAATGACTTGTAAATTCACTTTACCATAATGTGTTTGGCCATTTTGTTAATTTTTTATTATTATTTTGTAATTCCCATTATTCTCGGTAGGGATAAAATATATGTTTTAAATATATATTGTTTTAAATCAGATAGATAGATAGATGTTTTAGTTTTTTTTTTGGGGGGGGGGGGGGGGTTACAGTGTACTTATACAAATAAGTACTGAGTAAAATTAATTAACAATATGTACTTAGTGTATAATTAGTGTTAGGGTTTGGTTTAAGGTTAGTCGCTTGTAATTATGCATACTGATATTACTATAGTAAGTACATGTAAGATGTGTAACAGGGACACTGTAAAAAAAAGTATTACCAAAAACTCTATCAAAAAAACAAAACATTTTTATTAATTAAAATAATGTTACTTATTTGTTTAATTTGATTAAACATACCAGTTTTGCCATCAGATTCATTTCTTCAAACAGTCTCCTTTTGACATCTTCATAGAATATTGTGACATCTTGTGGCAGACTGTGTGCTGTCAGCCTGTTAATGATGGCCTCAATTAGAGTGAGACACAAGCACATGAGGTCTCTGTGTGTGACAGACGGAGCAGGAGTGTTTGCTGTTTGATCAACACACGATGAGATTCTGCTGGAGAGCTCTTCACTGCTCAGGCTGGGAGCAGATCCTGTACGTAACAGCCTGAAAATGGCTTGGAAATCCAATCCTGCAGCATCCATGCTGAGACACTGTGAAAAAAAAGGTTCAAACTAATGATAATCAGTTTTTCATGCTCGAACTTGTGTTTAAACAAAACTACTGTAGATATGACCTGTAATTTGTTAATGTTGTTATGCATTAATAAGACTAAAGCCACTGAATTGTACTGTACCAACCCATCTCTTCAACCACATGCTTCTTCTAAAAAAACTCCCCCTTCATGAACATGTTAGACAATTTGATGTCAGCAAACCTGACTGTGAAAAACGATTGACAGAGAGAGAGAGAGCATTTCTGAATGGCTAAGAAGGCCAGAGCACTTAGTTTCTAGGGCTATACAAAGACATTTTATATCTGCAAATCAAAAATTTTGGCTCTGTAAAGTTCTAAAAGACATGCCAAATTTAGTTAGACAAAGTTATATCCTGAATTTAGTCCTGAATGTGTCAGACTTTAAAAAAGCAGCCATTTGTTATTGTGAGTATAATTAAAATTCATTAATAAATGAACTGCTTTAAAGGGGTTAGTTCACCGAAAAATGAAAATACTGTCATTTCACATTCACATACAAACCTTCATCAACTCTCACATCAGTTGTGGTAAACAGAAGCTCAAGCATGTTCGCTTGATGTGCGAGAACCAATGAGGTTCATTCGGTGTATTACTCAGCAAGTTTGAGCTTCTGCAAGAACCAATAAGGGTGATTGAATCTTCAATGATTTTAATATCTATTTGTGAACTTTTTGAAGTGTCAAAGTGTCAGTTGCGTAGCTCTCAGATTTAATAAAAAGATCTTAAATTTTGTGTTCCGAAGATGAACGAAAGTCTTCTGGGTTTGGAACGACATGAGGGCGAGTAATTAATGACAGAATTTACACTTTTGGGAGAACTATCTCTTTAAGCCAAAGACAGAATGACCAAAGTTATGGCCAGCAAAATTACAAAATGAGTTGATTGGCTTGCTAGTTCAATAAGACAGAATGAAATTAAGTCAATGTGCAACACTCTACTTTTGTGTTTAAATGAATTTGCAAGAATTAAAAAAGTATGATTCTTCCCTTAAAGTACTTAAAGACATTGTATATGTGCTATTCCAAAATATCCTAAAATCACAAATGTATTGCTTGCAGTTGCAGCATCTTCTTTGCTTACGTGATTTATGATGAATTTCCAAGTTTCTCAATATCCTGTTTATGTTCCCGAGCAGCCACTTCATCAGTCTCTGCAAGAAATAAATATAATAGACAAGAAGATCATAAATGGACAAATAACCTCATATTTACAGGTCGGTAGAGATTGTTTAGAGATTTTCGTATAAAAAATGGGTTAGAATCCACTGACATACGTGATCTGTAGAAAGATGCTGCGTTAAAGCAGAATTTATAATGTAATGAACAGCTTTTAGGAAAAATCAGTTAAAACCCCAGTTTTTCTTCAACAGTGATTAAAAAAATCCAACATGAACAAACGCCTCCATAAAGCACATGGAATGCTGTTTGCCATTATCCGGCCAAAATTGTCGCAAAACTCTAACCTTTCGGCGTTTTATTTTGCAGCGGTATGATGTATGCATGACGTATTTGACAGCTCGAATCTGATTGGTTGTTGCGGTTTGAAGCCTTGGAGATGGTGTTCATGGCTACCTGACTGTATTTGTACTCTGTATGTATATTATATATTTTTATTTCACTGTCCCCCGAGTTATTATTGTGTTAATTAAGCAGATGTCGTTAATTTTATCCTCTCGCCACAGGTTAAGAGAGTTTGAATAACTTTAAAAGCAGTGTTCTTCTGAGAATGGTCAAAAACCGCTGGCTAAATGCTAACAATGCTAATGCAGTAACAGTGTATGTCAATCACAGAGTTTGTCAGATTCTCCTTCAGTTTAATGATAAGTGTTAGAGTTATCGTATCATTTATTGCAGTGATATTAAAATGTGTTATGTGTGTCTCTAAAAAAGAGCAGCTTTAGTATTTGTTTTAGGCTCATTTTAGCTGCCACAGCTGGTTTAGCACACCAGCTAACAGATTCATTGTTCTCAGTGCAGCAGCTACAAACAGGGTTGTTTACCTTTTATTTACTTTATTTGAGGTGATTAAACAGGTTAAACTGCAGTTGATGGTATACATCACATATGTTATTGAACATTTATGTTGTTAAAGGTAGATGTAGGTGTGCAAATGCTCGCTGCAGCTGTTTTTTCAGAGTCTGAAAGACAATTACATTGTGAACTGATGGGTGGCAGTAAATGTTTGCTTCTAGACAGAGAGCTGATCAATTTAATGACAGATAAGTGTGTAAATGAGACGTAACCAATTAGGTGTGGCTAAATGAGGATTATGTAAATATCTATATGAATCTGCATTAATATATATTAATACATATAAATGAAAAGATATTATATAAATGATGAATGAAATTGAATCATGTTGATGATGATGATATTTCTATATTACTCCGCATCTCTAGAATGGAGTTCTGAAGGGGATATGAATATGGATGCAGAACTCAAAGGCTGTTTTAGATCTACAAGACATTAATGAACGGTAATTTTGTAATTTCTAATTATCTGTAGTAGGCAATGTTTTTAAATATTTACTAATTTGTAATTTCTGTCATCTTGTTTTATATTAACATGTTTATGTTGTCTGAGCTTGTTTATGGGTGGTTTAATGGATTTGCCTTCATGCAACGCAACTATCTCAGTACTTTCCATAAGTGCATAGATGCACTTTCCATGCAAGACTATTTTTAAAAGTGATGTGCAATTGTTTTCTTTTCATACTGTTTTTTTTGCAATCAAAGATAATTAATACTTAGTCAATGTATTTGTTCTATCATATCTATCATGTTGTATTCTTAAAGAAATATATTAAAATCAGCGTCATACATTCCAATGAAACACTGTTTATAGTGTTTATATATTTATGTAGTAATTATCTCGTATGATAAATATGTAATATTTATCTCAAATGTATGGCTCATAAGATTTTAAGTATGCTGACATTCTTGTAACACACATAGTAATTTATAATTGTGTTTTTTATTAAGATTTTACCAGTAAGAGGTCTATACACATTCACTTGTTAATATTAGTGCTGTATCCAGTAGCCTAGTTTTATTTGTGTTTTATATATTTTACACACACACACACACACACACGTGGCCTATATATATTATAGAGCCTGTGACATTCAAAGCATTCGATTTAAATGCAGCATTCAAATTAACAGTAATTCTAAAATCTTATGTAATATTTTATGCATATGTTTTTCTTTTATTAAAGGTGCTCTATGTAACTTTTCTACTAAAATGAATCCTTTTTTTATTGCCTGTGTGTGAAGGGGTTGTAATCACACATTAAAATGATCTACTTGTTGAGTTTTGCTATTACCTCTGAAGGCCAGTATTCCTATTTCTATGTGAAGTCTCCGGGTCGGATTTACCGCGAAATCCAACGGATGTGACGTGCATGCGCGCTCCCGAGCCTCATACAGTCTATTGTAGACGGTCAGGGAGTTACGTCCAGTTAAAGGCGCACGTTTTTCGGCTTATATCTCAGTCAATCTTTGATCAATATTCCCAAGACTCTAATCGTTCGTAGTGCTGGACGGGGCCTTTCGAACGAGCCCACCCCCGAGGTCCAACTCGCCCGGCTCCCCGAGTTATAGCTGTTCGAAATCGGGGGTCCCAGCGAACGGCGATCCGGTAGGGGGCGTCCCCGAGGCCCGCCACTCTAGCGTTCGGGCAAGGGTTCCCCTGGGACCTCCTCCCCCGAATTTGAGCTCTCTGGGTCTTTGCGTTCCAGAGATACGAGCGATTTTCTTCTGAGATCGTGACGTCACTGGCGTCCGCAATTTTGCAGCGCGCCCGATGGTTTTCTGCTAATATCTCCGCGAAAACACCACCAAAAACTATGGAACCTATATGGTTCTTTTCAGCTCGACTAGATGGTCCCAACGAGCTCGGTGCTCGCCGAATCCGTCAAGTATTCGCCGAGATATTTGCGTAATAGACGGTATTGTCTATGAGTTCGAGCACGAGCGCTCTTGTAAAATTTGGTTGCAATCTGAAACATCACCACTAGAGGCCGCTAAAAGTTACGTAGAGCACCTTTAATAATGAAGCAGTGAGTAGTTAGTAAATTAATGAGAAATCGATATTCTAAGCTGATCAAGAATACAAATTGTATTGGTATCGGCAGATACTTAAGGTTGCAGTATTGGTATCTATATTGGACATGGAAAAGTTGTATTAAAAATTTCCTTTGAGACATTTGTAGTTGATTCCTCTAAAAAATGTAAACACTCTGGCTGCATTTTTTTCAGAACATACATAATTGATCATCCTTTGATTTTATAATGAGGAGCTTGTCTATCAGTAATGTCATCCGTGTGTTTGTCTGCAGGGACACAGGAGCGTCTGACGCCCGTACTGCGAGATGTGACAGGATGCTGAACCATCACTGCAGAAGGAACCCAGAGTTACAGGAGGAGCTGCAGATCCAGGCGGCGGTGGCGGCCGGCGATGTCTACACTGTCCGCAAGATGCTGGAGCAGGGCTACTCGCCCAAGATCAGAGACGCCAACGGCTGGACGCTGCTGCACTTCTCTGCGGCGAAGGGCAAGGAGCGATGCGTGCGCGTGTTCCTCGAACACGGAGGTAAAGGTTTGGTTGCTTTAGGACAGTGGGGAGATGGGCAAGTCTGATTTAATGTCACTTTGTGAGAAAATATCTCAAATGACCGGCCTAGATTGACACTTATTATAAACTGTGGTTGGCTTGCTGAAGGTGGCTCTTGAAGGAATACGTTCTCCCCAAAAATTGTCGTTATGTTACTTACCCTAAAGTAATTCGGGCCCTGTATTATTATCCCTATTTTTAAAACACAGGCTTCTGTTTTCCACACACTAAAAGTAGATGGAGATTTAAACTACCAAGCTCCAAAAAAGACAACAAAGCGTAATGAAAATGCATTGTTTAATGTGTATTAATCAGTATATAGTTTGAATATGATTCCTCTCCTTGGGTAAATTTGATTTCACAATGATCAAGTACTTTTTCTCAATGGCACACTCTTGATAACCAGTTCACAACGGTGGCTGAGGTGATATTTTACACTCTTGCATTAAAATTGTTTCCTATCTTGTCATCTCTTAATCCCTTAAAATACTAAACTGGTATTACGTTGCTAAAATAGACAATACTGTTCTGATGTTCATGTTTAAGTGTGCTAATGCATGCTAGACGTTAGGGGGCGCTATAAAACAGCTATTTTTATCAAAAGATCTGCAGATAGAATGATCCACAATTAAGTGTTTAACTGTACAGTTGCACCGTCCTCTTTTCCTTATTGAGATTCAGAATAAGTTTAATGCTTTAATTCGCCCTTACACAAATTAAGGCCTTCAATCAGAGCAGAAATGAATTCATGGCATTTAAAGTCATGGCATTAAAATGTCACATGCATTGCAAAACAATGAATATCGTCCCTAAGTATTTCTTTATGAAATATTTATTTTCTCAGTATTTCTTATGAAAACTTCCATTTGAATTAAGTTGATTTTTCTGAGCTCACTGGCAGATATTTGTTCTTCTTTTAATCATAAACTCACTTAATTTTGATCAATTCCACAAAAAACATATTTTTTTGCTTCATATTTAACGTCATTTCGCATCTCAAGTAAATGCGTCTTGATTTAAGAATCTAAGACATTAGCACTGGAAAACAAGACAAAAACATTGAGGAAGAACAGCACTTTTTTGCAGTTTGATCAGAATTTACTATAAAAGTTATTCTATATTCTAGTGGTTGGGAGCAGAGGCATTCAAGCGACTTATTTTGTAAAAATGAATTAAAAAGTAACAGATATCTGTTGGAAGTGTTGCTATTACAACTCATTGTGTTTCTTTAGTTGGTCTTAAAACGTATTAAATCTACCATTAAACCTGTAGAAACCCTGAATCAGATTGATTGATTTTTTTGTCAGGAAATGTAATTGAATTTCCTGTAGTTAATATAAATGTTTCTAGTTAAGTTTAGTTTAACATATTTTACATATTTACTCATAACTACTGGAAAATGATAGATAAATCGTTGAAATGATTTGGTCAAAAGCTGTAAGAGCACAGAAGTATGAACTTTTAGCTAGCTAAATGTCATACAAATAATTATGACCAACAATTTAAGGGACTGTAACTGTAGTCATTTATTAACATTTAAGAGTTAAAAATAAATAAAAAGGATTCCTTTTAGTCTTTGTATACAAATATTGTACATGATAGAATGACATGAATGTAATGTTCTAAACATTACTATTTTATATATCTTAAGTCCACTTCCATTCATGTTTTTGGAATCCAGCCTACATAATATAGTAAAGAAATAGCCTAATTATTTTTATATTATGTTGTTAATTTTTTAATCATGTTGAAAGCAAGTATAGCCTATCATAATGCAATTGTAACTTTTATTTATTTTTTTCAATTTCACATGGCATTTTAAGATTTAAGTACATTTTGAAATGTCCAATGTTAGAGAGCTTACGTTACACATTACTGCAAAGAAAGATAGATGTATATAAATGCAGATTGACTTGTGTAATAATAGTAGGGCTAATGCATATATATCATCTTTTTTTTTTTTTGTCAGTTAAATTAGTTTGATTTTGTCATGTGTTTATTCTTCAAGCTGTTTTTTTCTTTGTGATCTCCAGCGGACCCCACAGTGAAGGATTTTATCGGAGGCTTCACAGCTCTGCATTATGCTGCCATGCACGGCCGTGCCCGCATCGCCCGCCTCATGCTGGAGTCCGAGTATCGCAGCGACATCATCAATGCCAAGAGCAATGACGGCTGGACTCCTTTGCACGTGGCGGCCCACTACGGCCGCGACTCCTTCGTGCGTCTCCTCTTAGAGTTCAAAGCCGAGGTGGACCCGCTCAGCGACAAAGGCACGACGCCGCTCCAGCTGGCCATTATCCGCGAGCGCTCCAGCTGTGTGCGCATTCTGCTCGACCACAATGCCAACATAGACATTCAGAACGGCTTCTTGTTGCGTTACGCCGTCATCAAGGGCAACCACTCGTACTGTCGCATGTTCCTGCAGCGGGGAGCGGACACTAACCTGGGCCGGCTGGAGGACGGACAGACGCCGCTGCACCTGTCGGCCCTCAGAGACGATGTGCTGTGCGCTCAGATGCTGTACACGTACGGGGCCGATACCAACACACGCAACTACGAGGGCCAGACCCCCGTGGCTGTTTCCGTCAGCATGTCTGGCATCAGTCGGCCCTGTCTGGACTTCCTGCAGGAGGTCACAAGTAGGTTCTTCTTCCTCTAAATCTTTATATGTGGACTGTCAGCATTGTTCCTCATTTTTTAGTAGATGGTAATAGTAAAAAAGTTTGGCACACTGATTAGGGAGGGTCTCAGTATTCTAGGTGACAGTACTCTTTTGAGGTCTCTCAAATCCTCTAGCGCCACCAACAGTCCAAATTTTCAAGTACGTTTTAGCTAGTAACTTTTGAACTAATTGAATTATTTAACAAATACAATTTTCTTCAGATTTTCCTTTCATCTTTATTTTAGTGGGTGACTATATTTTTGCACATTGATCTCTAATATTATGGTAGAATTGAATTAATTAATATTTAATCAGCAAGGACATTTATAATGTTACAAAGTTAAAAATGTTTTTAATTTTTATTTAAAATAAATACTGTTCTTTTGAACTTTCTATTAATCAAAGAATCCTAATAAAATGTTTTACTGTGTTTTTGATCAAATAAATGCAAGCTTGGTGATCATAAAAGACTTCTTTCAAAAATATTTAACAAGTTAAACATTTAACATTTACACAAGTAATGCAGCTTATTAATCATTTTATTGGCGGCTTTAATAATCATTTTATTAATCGTTTAAAAATAGTTCAACTAAATTGTAAGTTGTTTAACTATTTTTAAACGATTAACTAAAATGATTATTAAAGCTGTCAATAAACAATATTTGTTTCAAATAAAAATGCAAGTTTGCAAAAGAATGAAAAATAAACTGCAACTCTAAAGTGCACTACAATTAGTACTGACTGAGCATTACTTGTGGAAATAATAAATGTTTAACTTGTTAAATATTTAACTATTATAGTTAAGAAAAAAACAATTAAACAAATAACATTTTCAAATATGTACTTTTTTTTTTCATTTTTAAATGAAAGCTTCTTTGAAGCCAAACGTGAAAATCTAAAACTTCAAAGATTAAGTTGCATAACATGATATACATTGTCTAAATTTCACAATATAGTTGGTTTACTTTTTGTTCCTTTACAAAGTTGGGTTTTTTTTTTTGGCAGTTTACCTTTTGAAGAAGACACCTTTTAGCAAGATTTTTTCTTGAAAGGAAAAGTTTGGTTCAGCTCAACTAAACTTCAAGGTTATAACTTTTGAAGTCGATGTGAAGCTATTAAACCTTATTAATTACAAAAATTTCATCAGATTCAGTTCCCTCCATAAATCAGTGTCTCTTGTGTGTTTGCTGCAGTTTAAATTGCAATCCAAATATGATTTAGTGATGCACACAGAAATATATTAAATATTGATGTGTATCATATATGAAGTAATTGCTGATACACAGCCCTAATTGCAGTGCACATTATAGTTGGTATACTTTGCTCTTTCGAGTGTGTATATATACACACACACATATATGTATGCATGTGTGTGTATTTCTTTTTCTTATATTTAATTGCAAGTTTTGATTATTGTTTTTTTTAACGACAGTAACTAATGAGCTTGCCTTAGCAAATTACACCTTCGAAGCTTTAATTTTTCTGTTACACATTGACACTCATTACAGATATAAGTTTGAAGAGAGCTCCAATCAAGTCAAGCGTGAAGCATTAAACCTCAAAGGTTAACAAAAAGAGCATCATCAAAAGAGGTCATATTCACTCTTTCCTCTAGAAATATGTCAAATCTCACGAAGAGCAGCAGCTGATCTGTAAGTTGAGCAATGGCCTAACCTCCCGAACGTACACCATTATGATCTCTATCCCCCACACAGAACAATCGGTCATCTGAGAAAAGCGAGCCGTGTTACCTGAAGCACTAATGATCAAGTACGCAACAATGGCCACATTCCTGTGCACCGCTTCAACTTTGATATCGCCATATCAAAGCCACCTGTCTGTCGCAGACATTTACTCGCTGTCAACTCATTCAGCCTGATCCGATTTCACCTTGATTATTTATTAAAAAGGCACTTCAGCGGCTGTATTTACATCGACGGCTCAGACTTTGAGAGCATGACTTCATGTCTTGAAGGGAGTGACCGGTTCGCCTCTGTGAGAATACGCACTGATTTCATTTCGCTTTCTCTGCCGTCACCTATAGTTGCAAGCTTTTGGTAAGGCATTGAGACTGACAGAAGACAGGGGCTGCAGATGGCCGTCTCCAGCTCTTTGTAGTGGTTTTTCCAGCTGGCTTCATTTGTGGAAGCTCAGCCTGTGCCATATTGTGTTGGGATGGAAAAACTGGCCCATTAAAACTGATAAACTCTGTGCACCGGGTTCCTGGAACTCATTGCAGAACTTTCCTGATATCTTTTAAGATGACAAATGCAAAAAAACAAAAAACGTTTATTTTTATTTTGTTTCCTCCCCCGATGGCTACTTGTAATATTGGTGGTTTTCTGTGCCAATTTGTTTTAATTGAATGTCTGGTTTTTACTGCTGTATCTATGAAACATCAAACTTTGTTCTGCTTCACCCTGAATATACAGCATATACTTTGATTTTAATGGCAGATAAACACACAAGGGTCAGACTGTCCTCTTTACATTATAAATTGACTTTAAAATATTATTATAATTTTAACTTGACAGAGTTTGCTTGCATTTGGTGCATTTTGGAGAGTGTTTTAATGTTGTCACAATTTTCTTTTTGTATGATCTGTGTGAGGTTGCCATTCACATTTTGTTTATCTCGTGCTTAATATTCTGTTATAAATTTGTTGTGTTTTTGTAATTTTTAAACGTTTTTATTTCTATGTGTCTATATAGTTTTTATTAATTTCTATTTCAGTTTTAGTTATTTTAGTACATCAATGAAAATGAGAAATGCTCCCTTGGCAACTATCTGAAATAAAAAGAGTATTAAAATAAATAAATAAAAATGTATTTCAAGCAACATTTTTTTATGGTTTTAGTTTGTTAACTATAGTTACCCTGCTGTAGCCACCAATCTTTGGTATTTTTGTACGTTTTTCTCTATTATCAGTTTAAATTAGTTAATGTGCAGGAATGCAATCATTCAGTTTTTATTACATGTCAACATAGATTGAATTTAACCTGACAATTGTTGTTTCAGGGCAACCCAGGACTTTGCAGGATCTGTGCAGGATAAAGATCCGGCAGTGCATCGGCTTGCAGAGCCTAAAGTTTCTGGAAGATCTGCCCATTGCCAAGGTCATGAAGGACTACCTTAAACACAAGTTCGACAATGTTTGACGGAAGCCAACAAACTCATTTCTGTAGGTTCCCTTAAGACTCTATGCAAACTCTCTTTTTTCATTTCTACTCAAAACCTCTGGGAGCAGGTGCAGCGTTTTGTACAAGCGGAGTGAAAAAGCTTATTTACAGAGAAACGACTGTGGATCGGGGAGCACTGTAATGGCCACGTTTGATTCGTTCGTAGAAGGTGTCCTTTCATGCATGCCTGGAGAAATTCCTGACCCATGAGAGAAGAAAAACGCGATGTTTGATTTGTACCAATATCTTTTTTTGTTTCAACAAGGCCTTTGTCAGTATTTGACGTTTTCTATCGTCTAAATTCTCAGACAAGGAAAATATAAAAACCCTTTTAAACTATCAAGACAAATTGGCAAATATTCAGGCCACTCTCACAATTTTGTATGCATGTGCTATTGTCCTTTTTTGCTCGGGAGAAATTCTTTGGTCTATTAAGTTATTAACCCTCTGTTGAGAATCCAATTCATACCTAAAAAACCCACAAGCTCTCAGTTTTTCTCTGCAAACATTTTTTTTTTTTTTTAAAGAATGCCTCATTTAATCTGATTACAGTATCAGAGGCTCTTGACTTAAGTTTCCATTCAAAGTTCTAGTCTCGAGAGGTCTACAGGTGAACGTATGTGCACGCATAAATCATTAACAAACTTTATGTAAATAATTGTGTCATATATGTACAGCAGATATTTTTAGACTATTTAAGCCACAAGCTTGTGTTATCAAAGTGTTTTGTTGAGTTGTGTGTTTTTCATGTGACCTGTCAAGGGCTTTCATGTGGGAATGTCCGAATCCCCAAAGATTTGGAAAATAAGATTCGATTACAGCTACAAGTGATGCTTAATATTAATTGGCCATAATTTCTTTAAGATTGATTTTTTTGTTATGCACATGAAAAATCTCTTAAATCTTTGCAATCAGTAACTTAATTTATTTTACTTTTTCATTTAGTTTATTCAAGATTTGAAATGCACTTAAGTTTGTTTTTTCTTCAGAATATAAACAGTTGTCAAACCCACTTGTAAGGTCTGCATAGCATTAAGTTAGTTCAGTTCATTTGACACATCTTCAAGCAAGCATTCAGTTTGTTTCACACATGTGTCATTCAGATGGCAACTTGATTTTTTTAATCTTCCCTCCTAAAATCTCAATCAATGTAAGAGTTTTGTGGGAGATATTTGTGTGATGACTTTAAATGTCAGGACTCTGAACGGACTCCTTCACTTTCACTCGAGTCTATTTTATCTAAACCTTTTTCTAACACTAGCTGCCTTTACTTGCAATCTGTGACGCAGTACAGCTACAGCATTTCACCACATCATGAACTCAATTCAAGAGCATTAAAGTGACCTGCCACAAAATTGAAATGATCTCTTTTTTTTTGTCGCATTTAGGTTCAGTTTAGTGTGTTTTGGGCGTTTGTTGGGACGAAACCATCTCTGGATGACTGACTGCTTGCTACCATAATGTATTGAACTTCAGAACAATGTTTGGAGGACTGATTTAAGAGCGAAGGAATGTTATATGGGAATTGTCTTTACTAAGCGAAAGTCTTCCACAACTTCTACTACTGAATGTATATAATCTGCTGTTTGCAAGTTTCACATGTACATTTGTGTGAATAAATGGATCTCATAATGTCCCCATTTGTTATTTTTCAAAGTCTTATTGCTGTACTTTGAAGCAGTAATTGTGCCGTGTTCATCGATTTGCATCCATTTTTCTAGAGTTTGATGACTTTCTAATAAAATGTCTGCTAAATATGCTGATTACTGAATTCATTGTTCATTTTGTAACTGTATATTGCCTTCTAGGTTTTGCTTTCTTTCCATCTTTCCTTTTAACTGCAGTACAATCCACTCTAAAAACGCTGTTTAATAATCACCAGTTGCTTTAAGTTTATTTTAAAGGAATATGCCAGGTAAGATACAACATCGAATCAAAATTGACCCTACTTTAAACTTGTTCCACCTCTAAAATGACTTTCTTTTTCAGTTTGCATCACAAATCCTTTTTACTACTTCAACCTCTTCAACGATCTGCCTTCATTCCGGTATGTAATGCCACTTTCCATGATCCAAAAAAGTCCTGTTCTCCATTTTTGTTTTTGTATATCCAGTTTCATTTCATTAAATCAAAATGTCAGATTACAGAAGTGAAATAACCTTAAAAATAGCATTTCATTTAAACTTTATCAACAGCATTTTGCAGAATACTGCTACTTCGCTCAACCTCTCAAGACTAATTTATATTAAATTAAAATTGCTTTTAAACCCTCCAGAATTACTTTTTAATTCATTAATTTACTTATTTTTGCTTTTACAATCTGCGAAACAAGTCAGTTTTTTTCTGTGCACTCTCAGAAATAAAGGTACAAAATCTGTCACTGGGACGATACCCTTTCAAAAGGTTCTTATGTACCATTTAGGTACTATGTACACAATTGGTACCAATATGTACCTTTGAGATACTAATATGCACTCTTTAGGTATGTACCATTTGAATAAGGGTACCATGCACCCCAGTGACAGCTTTTGTACCTTTTTTTCTGAGAGTGTAATCAACAGTTATTATTTTATTATGATCGTTTTGATGATGCGGTAAAACTACATGTTTTAAATCCCGAGTGTTATAAAATTGTATTAAATTGTGTTTTCCAGGCCTGAAAACATCCTGGAAATGAATAACATTCTTACAAAGTCACGAAAAGTTGATGCTCAGCTTCAGATAAACTGCTCTATACCTAATCCAGAAATCACAAAGTAAAATTCATTAATGGGAAAAGGTCTGGGAACCCTGTTTGATGCATCGATTCACACTTTCCCGTGGTCTCATATCTCATCGTTATGCCATTACAACCAAAGCTCTGGCAAAGCTTGAGAGAAAAGCTCACCCAGTGCCACGTTATCTCTAGTAACGCTACAGGTTTCTGCGTACGGGGCACCTTAAATGACGACGCTTGGCACCGTCTCACAACTTATTCCAGAGATCTGAATGTATTGTTTACTTGAGAATGGCTGATGTTTTGTTGAAAAGCGATCTCTCTCGCTCTCTTCGCTTTCCCAGGAACGGCGTTCTTAAATAAAAAGGTTTCTGCTTTCCTGCTTCTCTTGAACCCATGCGAGCGGGGCCCGTGCCAAAACTCTGCAGTGACCTAAGAACACCGGTGAGTGATATATTTGCGCATTCCTACGACAAAAACACGGGCCGCTATCATTTATCGAATCACAGGTAACATTACACAATAAAACAATGGCATCTCTCTGTAGCCCGTGTTTCCTTGCAGACAAGCAGAACAATGCGTCTATTGTTTGGTGGTCCTGCCGGATGGATGGTGTCCTCAGCGGCGCTAGAAACAGGTCTTCCTTGAGCCCGGGCCGCTGGCTTCGGGAAACTCCCTGTCTGTGGGCATATATCTGTGAGGAAGAGGAAAGATCCATTTGAATGTGTGGGCTGACGGCCACAGAAGGAAATGTGCAAAGCAAATGCAACAGTGCTTTGTGTGTTGAATTGTGGTTATCGCTAAACACTTAGTGTGTAGGAAGCGGCGATTACTTAATGAGTAAAGTCATTAATCTTTTTGTTATGGGTGTTCTCATCTCTAATTCTAGTGAAATTTCTGCTAGTGCTGGATTTCTTCGGGAACACTTTACAATAAGGTCCCATTATTTATGTTAATGCATTAACAACGAGCAATGCATTTGTTAGAGTATTTGGTAACACTTTACAATAAGGTTCATTAGTTAAGTTAACATGAAGAATAAACAATAATTTTACAGCATTAATTAGTCTTAATATTAACTTCAACATTTACTAATACGTCATTAAAATCAAAGGTTGTATCTGTTAACATTAGTTAATGCACTGTGAACTAACATGAACAAACAATGAACAGCTGGATTTGTATTAACTAACATTAATAAATACTGTAACAAATTTATTACTCATTGTTAGTTCATGTTAGTGAGTTTACATGAACTAACTAACTTATTAGTTAGTTCTATAACTAACTTCATTAACTAATGAACCTTATTGTAAAGTGTTTTACCGAGTATTTATAACTAACTAATTAATGTTCGTTAACAAAAACACAACTGTTCATTGTTAGCTCAGGTCCATTTAATAACTTTGACTTTAATATTTCATTAGTAAATGTTGAAATTAAAATTCACTAAGATTAAGAAACGCTTTTTTATTGTCATTTCATGTTGACAAATGTATAATGTTAACAAATGGAACCTTATTGTAAAGTTTTTTTTTCCATTTTTTCTTTAGAAGTGCACTGAGGCAAGCGTCACTATTATGCTGCTCACGCTTGGGGTTAGTGATCTGAACAAAACCTTCACCCGCATGAAACTTGTGTGTGTAACTCATCCTAGCAACATGGTGTCAAAGTTTGCATGTGGAAGCACCACTTGCAAAAAATGTAAAGATCCTATTCTTTTTTTTTTCTGTACAATCAGCCTCTCACGCTGTCCAAAGAATTATCATAATGCACAGCAGAAATACTTAAATGTGAACAGTTTTGACTATTTGTCTCAACTGTTATCTTCATATTCAGCATGATAAAAAAATTTTCCATGTTCCATTTCCTTCTGACTTCCATCTCTTCTCTTCCACCCAGAGAGACGGGTGATGTATTGTTTTGTTTAATGTTTTTGAAAGTAGTCTCTTAATCTCACCAAGGCTGCATTATTTGATAAAAAAAATAGCAATACTGTGAAATACTACTACAATTAAAAGTAAGTGGTTTCTGGTATATATTTTAAAATGTAATTTATTCCTGTGATCAAAGCTGATATTTCAGCATCATTACTCCAGTCTTCAGTGTCACATGATCCTTCAGAAATCATTCTAATATGCTGATTTGCTGCTCAAGAAACATTTCTTATTATTAATGTTAAACACAGTTGTGCTGCTTAATATTTTTGTGGAAACAGTGATTTATTTTCAGGATTCTTTGATGAATAGAAAATTCAAAAGAACAACATTTATTATAAATAATACAATTATTAAATGTCTTTACTGTCTTTTTTTATTCATTTAATGGAATAAAAGGAATATATATTACAACAGAAGTAATAATATTTCACAGTATTGCTGTTTTTAACTGTATCAGATAAATGCAGCCTTGGTGAGATTAAGACTACTTTCAAAAACATTCAAAACATGAATGTTTCCATACTTTTGACAGGTACTGTATATATATGAATTTGATGATGATGATGAATTTATCTTTTTTGATCTCTTTCTCTCACTCTGTGTTGCTGTCACACTCAGGTTTTTTTTTATCAGCTCGGCTCTCACGGGCTGTCCGGCATTGGTATGTGCCGCACGCCACGGGGTCACGCTTCCGTCACAGCCCGTGGAAGCACAAAAGCAATTTTTTTTTTAATGCTCGTATTCCTCCACTCGCCTGTTCCGGTACCATTTTTTTTATCAGGTCTTCATTTAGCTGCTGAAAGCCCAGACTGGGGCTCATG